AAATATTCGTATCACAAATTCACAAGTAGACATTATTTATATTTGTAATTTAAATTTGAGTAGTAAAAGTCAATTATAATCTGATAATTTTTACTTTTGTAATCTCAATTAATAAAAGTCAATTATAATCAAACAGTTTTTACTTTTGTAATTACAATTTAAGTAGTAAAGGTCATTTATAATCAGACATTTTTTACTTTTATAATTTTAATTCAAGTAGTAGAAGTCAATTATAATCAGACATTTTTAAATTAAATAAATAAAGCAAAATATAAAGTAGAATCAAACAATAATAAAATCTTAAATAAAAAGAAAATTGAATAAAAAATAAAAAAGAATAAAAAAAATAGAATTTAATCCAAATTTTAATTTGAATACAAAAATAATAAAAATATCTAAAGTATAACAAAAGAAGAAAGAAAAAATAATGTAATAAAAATTTATAATAATTTTGTTTAAATTTTAAAATATTAACAATTTAATATCAATTGAACTTAAAATTGAGTTTTATATATTTTTTTAAAAAAATTCCAAGAAAAGCTTCTCTTCAATAAAATAGTAATTATTATTAATAGAATCCGTTAGTTCTTAGAAAGATTTCCTCTCGTTGGAACTTAAATAATAAAAATAGAGTTCGTTGACCAAGCAGATTCAGACGTATATCGTGCTTCTCTCATATATCTTATGGGGACAGAGGCGGATATAAAACAAAAAAAAAAAAAAAAAGAAAAGAAAAAAAGGACTGCGAGAGATTAGAGAGAGGGTAAGGGGAGGATGAATGGGAAAAATAGGCAAAAAGTACAAGGAGAAAATGAGAGGAGAAAATAAAGTGGCAGAGAGAGAGAGGGAGAGGAAAAGAGAAAAGAGAGGGGAGAGAAAATGGGGAGGGAGAAAAATTTTACAGAACAAAGAAAAAGAAGTATATATATATATTTATATAGTGAGTGAGGGAGTCAAAATAGAGGAAAAGGAGAGTCGTGTGCATGCTGGACACGCTCTACGTCCATTTCTTTTCTAAGCAATGGCAACCTTCTACTTTATTAAATTCCCGTTGTGTGAAATTGTCCAGTACTCTTTTCTTTACGAATTCCATTATACATTCGACGAGTGACTAGTCGATAATGTATATCCATTTTACCTAATACGCGTCTTGCATTTACCATCATTTTCCCATGCAGATCGTGCATCTACAGTGTTAACTGCTTTCCCCTTCCCCCGCCACCCTGTCGAAAAAAAGAAAACAAAAAAAATCGTGTCTCCATTTTTTTTAAGGCAAACACGTCATTTTCTCAATTTAAAAAAATCAAAATGTGTCATTTTTTAACTGTAACGAAAAAAAAATTTAAAAAACACATTTTTTTAACTCTGAAGAAAAAAAAAGAAAACACGACATTTTTTAACTCTAAAGAAAAATTAACTACTAATTTAAATTTTATTCTCGAAAATAAGGAAGAATTTTTAAAAATCAAAAAATAAAAAAGTCTGGCTTTGTTTGCACACAACTTCCTAGGTTTAAAATCAAGTAGTGTAGTTCGTTATGGCAGAGCAGAGGTTTCTTAAATTATTTATTATTTTTTTAAGTAGTAAATGTCAAGTAAAGTGAGACATTTATTAGTTCTTATCTAAATAGGGCAAGTCATGCAGAGTAAAACATTCTCTAAAACCCTTGTAATTATATTGTGAGTAGTAAAGATCAAGTGTAGTCAGACATTTTTATAAACTTTCAAATTACAGTGTAAGTAATAAAAGACCAGTAAAGTGAGGCACAACTTTGTGTACGCATATAAATTCGAAACAAGTAGTAAATATCTTTTAAATGAATAGAGTAATTCCAGCATTTTTTTACAATAATTTTAAGTAATAAAATACCGTTCTAGTCTTAAGTAATTTTTATAAAATATTTATTAATTTACAATCAGTAAGTAAATGTTTATTAAAACGTTTTAATAAATGATTTTTACGAAAAAAATTTCGTATCACAAGTATAGTAAATATCAAACATTTTTTATATTTGTAGTTTTAAATTTAAGTAGTAAATGTCAATTATAATCAGACATTTTTTACTTTTGTAATTTTAATTTAAGTAGTAAAAGTCAATTATAATCAGACATTTTTTAATTTTGTAATTTCAATTTAAGTAGTAAAAGTCAATTAAACAGGCGAAATTATTTTATCTATGTAATTGTTATTTTAAGTAGTAAAAGTCAATCATAATCGTTCATTTCTATTGCTGTAATTACCATTTAAGCGGTAAAAGTCAATAACAGTGAGACATTTTAATTCTTTATAATTGCAATTTAAGTAGCAAAAGTCAATCACAGTCAGACACTTTTTTGAAAATCCTTGTAATTGTAATTTCAGTAGTAAATGTCAATTATACAGTCAGGCATTTTTCATCCATGAAATTTTAAATTTAATTTTTTAAAGTAGTAAAAGTCAATTAATAGTCAGACATTTTGTACCTTTATAATTTACATTCAAGTAGTAAAAGTAAATTTATAATCAGATTTTTTAATCTTTAGAATTGAAATTTAAGTAGTAGAAGTAAATCGAGAGTCAGACTTTTTTATTTATTTTTTTATATAGCAAAAGCAATTTAAGTAGTAAAAGTCAATCTCGGACAGACATTATAATCTTTCTGATAACTAGTGATAACAATTTAAGTAGTAAAAGTCAATTGAACAGTCAGACATTTTTTATCTTTGTAATTTTAATTTGAGTAGTACAAGTCAATTATAATCAGACATTTTTTACTTTTGTAATTTTAACTTTATCAGTAAAAGCCAAATAAATTTTATCTTTCTAATTGAAATTTTAGTAGTAAAAGTCAATCATAGTCAGACATGATAATCTCTGTAATAACAATTTAAGTAGTAAAAGTCAATCACAGTCAGACATTTTTCTTCTTTATAATTGCAATTTAAGAAGCAAAAGTCAATCACATTCACACACTTTATATGTTTTTAATTTAAATTCAAGTACTAAAGGCTATCATAGTCAGACATTTTACTTCTTTATAATTGAAAATTAAGTAGTAAAAGTCAATTATAGTCAGACATTTTACTTCTTTATAATTGAAATTCAAGTAGTAAAAGTCTATCATATTCAGACATTTTACTTCTTTATAATTAAAATTTAAGTAGCAAAAGTCAATCACAGTAGTAATAATTTAAGTAGTAAAAGTCAATTATATAGTCAGAAATTTTGTATCTCTGTAATTGAAATTTAAGTCGTAAAAGTCAATTATAATCAAACATTTTTGGTAAATCTTATTAATTGTAATTTAAGAAAAAAAAAAGTTAATTATAATAAAACTTTTGTTCATCTTTAGAATTGCAATTTAGGTAGTAAAACTGAATCGCAAGCAGACATTTTTTATCATTCTAATTACAATTTAATTAGTAAATATCAATAACAATCAGAGATATTTTTATCCTTGTAATTATAATTTAAGTAGTAAACGTCAATTTTAATCAGACATATTTTACTTTAAATCATTAAGATATATAAGTAATGCATATAATAGTTCAAATTAGACATTTAAAAAATTTTGAATTGTAAAAATAGTAGTGTAAGTTCGTCAAGTTAGACATTTTAAATTTTAGTAATTGAAATTTAAGTAGTCAAATTTAATTAGAGTCCGACATTTTGTAAATAAACTTATTGTAATTTTAATTTTAATTGTAATTTCAGTAGTGAAAGTCAATTGCAGTCGGACATTTTTTTATCTATTTTAATTGTTATTTTCAGTATAGTAAATAACAACTGAATCAGACAATATTATCTTTGTAACTCTTGATTTTAAGTAGTAATTTTAATTACTATTAGACTTTTTTATCTTCGAAATTATAACTTAAGTAGTAATAGTCAATTATAATCAGCCATTTTTACCTAATCTTTGTAATCTCGTAAATTAAGTAGTAAAACCCAAGTACAGTCAGACATTTTTTGTCATTTTTTAACAATTATCATACTAGTAGTAAAAAATCCAAATAGTCAGACATCTTTATTTATGAATATGTTCATAATTTACCCTTTTATAAATATATCAGTTCAAAACGTTTCATTAAAAAAAAAAAATTCCAAGCCTACATTGGTTATTTTATAAATAGATTCGGTATTATAGCGCCAGCAAACAAGAACTCTTGAAACTTTCAAGGAAAATATCGATTTCTTTTTATTTTTCCACTTCTATTCTAGAATTTCCATACGAGTTATCTACTTTATCGACAACGAACAGCTCTTTTAACATATATTCTACTTTATCATCAGTAATGAATACTTTAATTGAAAAATTCCATGCATATGGCAAATATTATATACAGCAACTCTGCGCAAATATAGTTTTATCAATTTCATTCTAATTAAGTCTGCTGTTATTAAAACTTAATCTTAAATTAAGTCTCGTGATAGGTATAAATAAATTCTTGAGTATAGTTTTAGACAAAAATGATATTTTTCACGCAATGTAAATCAAATTTAAAAAATATGGAAATTTAATTATAAAAAGTTAGAAGCAGTATTTAAATTATTTTTTAATTTCAAGTAATAATTATTGTTTGTATTCTATAACAATTATTTAATAATAATTCTTTTTATTTGAACGATTTTTTAATAAATGTTTTGAATCAAATAATTTTTGCTTAAATCAACTAAATTGTGTATTTAAATCAAACAAATAATATTCGAACCAATAATTTCAGTAGTTGTTGTAAGCAAATACCAATTGACTAAAAAAAATTATTAATTAAAAAAAGTTGTTATTATAATAATAATAAAATTATTTGGTACCAATAAATCTTTATTTGTCAATACACAAATATAGTATCAAATAAATTTTTCCCCTCTATATAACTTAAAAATTCAATTTTAAAATACGATATAGAAGAAAATCTTTCAAATAAAAAAAAAAAGGAAAAAAGAAGTAGAATAGTACAGAAAAACAAACAAATCTTATATGAACCCATTGAAATAAAGTATTTTCAAAAAAAAAAGCCCTTTCACTTAACTCGTCACTGATTTTCTTGGTGCGCATTGTCAAGATTCTAAATAAGGGTTGGCAGAGCGCCGGCGCCGTTCTATAAATAGAGATTGCACTGCGCTTTCTGTTTGCCGGTGGCTCACACAAGAACTAAAAACCTAGTACTGCACGGTGTATTCCACCACTTGCACTTCCTCACAAAGTGCTCCTATTTTTCAATACAATTTCGCGATGAGAGCATTCGCAAACACTCACCCTTCATTTCTCTCACAATAAAACTCAAACCCAAGCCCCCCTCTCTGCCCCCCCCCTCTCAGTTCTCACACAGTGTTTCAACAAAAAAAAAGTTTACAAAAAAAGTTTACAAAAAAGCAATTACAAAAAAATACCAATTAACTCCCAAGTCAATAAAACAAAAAAAAAGCAGAACGAAAGGGGAAGAAAAGAAAACTAAAAGAGGGTTGAAAGTCAAACTCGCAAACATCGATTATTATACCATGGGGCTAAACTCGCGCGGCTAAAAAAATTATCATCGAAAAAAAAAATGACAAGAAGCAAGAAACTTCGACCCATCATTCTCAGAATGAAGAAAATTTTTCCATTTTTAAAATCAAGCACAGGCCTAAAATAGGGGGGGGGAGGGTGAAAAAAAAGTGAATCAAAACTCAAAATAATGGATTTTTGACAAGAAAATAAAATAAAATTGTGAAATGTGAAAATTGAAAAATCCAAGTGTTCAAGAGAGTGAAGGAGAGCAAAGAGAGAAAAGGGCGCGGAGAATTTTGCTAAAATAGGTAAGATTACATAAAAGCTATAAAGTAGTGATAATAGTGATAATAGTCAATAATAGTCAATAATAGTCATAATAGTCCACATACTCGAAGAGTATAAAAATAATTTTAAAAAAATTGGTTTAGAAAAAAAGAAAATTTAATTTTTTTGAGGTTGTCTCTTCCGGAATAGCGGGAAACTAATTATACTCGTGCTGAGCCCTCTCCAGGCCCGGTGGCAGAGAAGTGAACAAGAGAGGTTATTATACAAGATGCCTCTCTATTCGCGGCTGCGTAATATACTTTAAATACATTATGGAACGCACAATCCGTAAATTTTCCACTATATATACGATATCTGATAGTATATTATGTCATGTTCATGCGGCATTTACATTCAAAAACCTGAAGCACGTGGGGCGTTAATTTCACAAGTTTTCGAAACATGCGGCGATAGAAAAAAAAAAGACTCTCTAAAATTATAACAGTCAAAAAAAAAAAAAAAAAAAAAAATGTATATAAATACACATAAACTGTGCTAAGATTCTCTGTATTGCCTTTTAATACTGCAAAAGAAAATAGAAATTTTTCTTTTTGTGTTTATTTTCACGAAATTAGGAAAAAAGTTGAAAAACAAATTTTTAAAGTAATTTCCTGTGACATTACTTGATTTGTAACTACTAATGAATAGATTTACTATTTTTTAACTAATTTTTTTTTAATAAAGTTGTAAAAGACAGTATTTTACGACTTGTAAGTAGTTTTACCTATTTTTTCATACAAGTAGGTTTCCTAGAATTTTTTTACTACATAAAAGTAGTTTTAGTAAAATTTTTTACTACAAGTAGTTTTCCTAAAAATTTCTACTATTTAAAAGTAGTTTTATCAACATTTTTATTACTTACAAGTAGTTTTACTAATATTTTTTACCACTTACAAGAAGTTTAAATCACTTTTTTTAAATTACAAGTAATTTTAATCATTTTTTACTGCTTAACAGTTACTACTAATTAGTTAATAGTTAATTAATTAGTTAATAGTTACTACTAATGAGTAGATTTACTATTTTTTAACTAATTTTTTTTTAATAAAGTTGTAAAAGACAGTATTTTACGACTTGTAAGTAGTTTTACCTATTTTTTCATACAAGTAGATTTCCTAGAATTTTTTTACTACATAAAAGTAGTTTTAGTAACATTTTTTACTACAAGTAGTTTTCCTAAAAATTTCTACTACTTAAAAGTAGTTTTATTAAGATTTCTATTACTTACAAGTAGTTTTACTAATATTTTTTACCACTTACAAGAAGTTTAAATCACTTTTTTTAAATTACAAGTAATTTTAATCATTTTTTACTGCTTAACAGTTACTACTAATTAGTTAATAGTTAATTAATTAGTTAATAGTTACTACTAATGAGTAGATTTACTATTTTTTACTACTTTTTTAATTCAAGTTGTAAAAGACAGTATTTTACGACTTGTAAGTAGTTTTACCTATTTTTTCATACAAGTAAGTTTCCTAGAATTTTTTTACTACATAAAAGTAGTTTTAGTAACATTTTTTACTACAAGTAGTTTTCCTAAAAATTTCTACTACTTAAAAGTAGTTTTATTAAGATTTTAATTACTTACAAGTAGTTTTACTAATATTTTTTACTACTTACAAGAAGTTTAAATCACTTTTTTTAATTTACAAGTAATTTTAATCATTTTTTACTGCTTAACAGTTACTACTAATTAGTTAATAGTTAATTAATTAGTTAATAGTTACTACTAATGAGTAGATTTACTATTTTTTACTACTTTTTTAATTCAAGTTGTAAAAGACAGTATTTTACGACTTGTAAGTAGTTTTACCTATTTTTTCATACAAATAGGTTTCCTAGAATTTTTTTACTACATAAAAGTAGTTTTAGTAACATTTTTTACTACAAGTAGTTTTCATAAAAATTTCTACTACTTAAAAGTAGTTTTATTAACATTTTTATTACTTACAAGTAGTTTTACTAATATTTTTTACTACTTACAAGAAGTTTAAATCACTTTTTTTAAATTACAAGTAATTTTGTTCATTTTTTACTGCTTAACAGTTACTACTAATTAGTTAATAGTTAATTAATTAGTTAATAGTACTACTAATGAGTAGATTTACTATTTTTTAACTAATTTTTTTTAATAAAGTTGTAAAAGACAGTATTTTACGACTTGTAAGTAGTTTTACCTATTTTTTCATACAAGTAGGTTTCCTAGAATTTTTTTACTATATAAAAGTAGTTTTAGTAACATTTTTTACTACAAGTAGTTTTCCTAAAAATTTCTACTACTTAAAAGTAGTTTTATCAACATTTTTATTACTCACAAGTAGTTTTACTAATATTTTTTACTACTTACAAGAAGTTTAAATCACTTTTTTTTAATTTACAAGTAATTTTGATCATTTTTTACTGCTTAACAGTTACTACTAATTAGTTAATAGTTAATTAATTAGTTAATAATACTACTAATGAGTAGATTTACTATTTTTTAACTAATTTTTTTTAATAAAGTTGTAAAAGACAGTATTTTACGACTTGTAAGTAGTTTTACCTATTTTTTCATACAAGTAGGTATCCTAGAATTTTTTTACTATATAAAAGTAGTTTTAGTAACATTTTTTACTACAAGTAGTTTTCCTAAAAATTTCTACTACTTAAAAGTAGTTTTATCAACATTTTTATTACTCACAAGTAGTTTTACTAATATTTTTTACTACTTACAAGAAGTTTAAATCACTTTTTTTTAATTTACAAGTAATTTTGATCATTTTTTACTGCTTAACAGTTACTACTAATTAGTTAATAGTTAATTAATTAGTTAATAGTTACTACTAATGAGTAGATTTACTATTTTTTACTACTTTTTTAATTCAAGTTGTAAAAGACAGTATTTTACTACTTGTAAGTAGTTTTAACCATTTTCTTACTACTTACAAATAGTTTTACTAGAAATTTTTACTACTTATGAGTAGTTTTATTAATATTTTTAACTACTAACTAGTTTTTTTAATTACTTGTTTCTATTTACAAGTAATTTTAATCATTTTTTACTACTTAAAAGTAGTTAAAATTTTTTACTATTTAGAAATAGTTTCACTACCATTTTTATTACTCACAAGTAGTTTAAACTATTTCTTCCTACTTACAAGTAGTTTTAACTAGTTTTTACTATTTACATGTAGTTTTACTAATATTTTGTTTTTATTACTGACAAGTAGTTAGCAGAAAATAAAAAAAATATTAAACTACTTGTCAGTGGTTAAAAATACTACTTAATAAATAATATTAAATAACAAAACTATTAAATGATATATTTACTATGAAATAATAATTATATTCAATAATTAAATATAATTAGATTCAATTGTAATTAAAATGTTTATTATTAAATAGAATAAATAATAATTTAAAATTAATAATTATAATTATCAATGCTAGTGTAACTAATTGCAAATAGTAAAAACTGATTAAAATATATGATATCTGATGATATCTGTGAGAAGTTCAACATGGTTTTAAAAATTGTAAGTAGTACAAAAATAGTTAAAAATACTTGTAAGTAGTAAAAAATAGTAAAAAATACTTATTAATAGGAAGAAATGGTTTAACGAACCTGGAACTTGTAAAAATATTACCTATAAGTATAATTTTAATAATTTTTAACTACTTAAAAGTAGTTTAAAAATTTTTTTTCATCCTCACAAGTAGAATTACTAATATTTTTAACTACTGCCAAGTAGTTATAATCATTTTTTTACTACTTACAAGTAATTTTATTAACAATTTTTAATACTTAAAAGTAGTTAGGTTTTATAAATAAATATAAATATCAAAGACAATTTTTTAATATAAATTTTGTTTACTACTTACAAATTGTTATAACCATTTTTGCAATATTCAATATTGCACTATTTACTATTACAAGTAATTTAACCATTTTTTTACTATTTACAAGTACTTTTACTAACAATTTCTACTACGTACAAGTATGTAGTTAGATTTTATAAATAAAAATAAATGTTTTTAAAAAATTTTTTAAATAAATATTTTGAACTACTTGCAAGCTGTTGAAATCATTTCTGCAATATTCAAGTAGCTGTGACCATTATTTACTACATACAAGCAGTTTTTTTTTATAATATTCTTTACTATTAGCAAAGTAGTTTTACTATAACTTTTGAATTACTGACAAGTTGATTTTTTTGTTGACTACTTATTTATGAATTAAAAAATAATTTTCTCAGCTTAATTATAAAACTTATAATATTATAATTATAGTTATAATAAATTATTATTAAATAATTGATAATTAATAATTAAACACAAAACATATTGTCGATTCAGCAGTAAAAGTCAATTTTGGTAGTTAATTTTTTTAATTGTTATTTATTACCCCTGACACTGAACAACAGTCAGAAAAAAAGGCCCAAAGGTTTACAGGTTGCTAATCCACAGGCGTGCGATATATGTCGCATTATTTCATAATGTTGTTTTATACATTTTATACATTATATATACATAAACAAGTGGATTGACAGTTCCTTTTTGATTCTCTGCCTGAGTAAGTGACAAAATTCATTTTATCGGAACATAAAGTAGAAAATAAAATAATTTTTCTAATTATAAACCTTGCCTTTTGAAGTAATAGTAAAAAAAAGTACGCAGTAAATAACCTGAAAGTAAAGTTTCAACTTGTGAAGCCGGTAAGTATTTTTTAACAAAATAAAAATAATGGAAAAATTATAATAATAAATGGTAATAAAATAAGAAAACTTAGAATAATTCAAATTTGTTCCCTAGTTATTTTTTTAAGGTTATGTTATTATTTTAAGGTTATGTTATTCAGTGGCCACGTGCCACATACACTTTACTATGGAAAAACGTTACTAATAAAAAAAAACGTTAATAATATGACCTTAACGATTCGTTTATTTAAACTTTATAAAATTTTTAAATGAAATATTACATTAAATTAGCCAATAATTAATTAATTATATGCAGTTAATTTATTACTTATCTACTACAATAATACAATAATAATTAATTATTAAATATTACTAATTATACTAATTAAAAATTATTCTGTACTTTTTTCTAAAACGAAATGCTTTTTTGATTTTAAAAGATAAGTAACAAAATATGACACTAAATTAGTCAATAATTAAAAATTATTATATATGTAATTATTTTATTATTTATTTCGTATTGAAATAATAATTAATAATAATGATAATAATCATCAAAATAATAATAGTTAATTAACATTAGCCTTGTAGTTTTTGTTTAAACCGGATTTTTTTTATTTTATAAGATTAATAACAAAATATAACACACAGTGAGGCTCGATAAAGTTATATTAAAAAGATTTATTATTAAAACTATTTTTACAGACACTTATTCACTGATAAAATTAAAAGATTATAAAATTTAAATAAAAGAAATCTGTTTAATGCTTCTAAAAAAAACTCGATTTTTTTTAGGTTTATTCATTAAACTTTATTGGGCCTCACCGTGTGACATTATATTAGACAATAATTAATTACTTATACTTTATTAATGAATATTTATTTTATTAAAATTTATTATTTTTTTCCAGAACGAAATCAAAAAGAGAAAAAAATTTAGAAAGTGAATTTTCTCTGTTTTTCTTGCAATTTATCTTTTCTTCTGCAATCAATAATCATCACTATATTTTTCCATGAACAAAAATCAACATTTTAATCAAATCTAAAGAAAAAAAATTATTTGTAAGTATCTTTAAAAAATTAATTATAATATTTAACGAAATATAAACTAAATTAATAATTAATTACTTAGAAGTAAACTGTACATAAATATTTAATGACTAATTAGTTATAAATAAATGAATAATAAATAAATTAATAATTAATAGTCGACGAAGTTTCACTCAAAAGTTTTATCAGTTAAACTATTTTTCAGGTATTTATTCACTAATAAAATTAAAAGATTATAAGATTGAAATGAAAAAAATTGGTTTAGGGCTTTTAAAATAAACTTTACTTTTCTTCGATTTTTTGAAGGTTAATTCGTCTTAATTTATTGAGCCTCACTGTGTGATATTATATAAGACAAAAATTAATTATTTATACATCATTAATAATCATAATTAATAGATTAATTATTTATTTTATTCAAATTTATTATTTTTTTCCAGAACAAAATCCAAAAGAGAAAAAAATCTAAACACTATTTTCCCATCAACAAAAATCAACATTTCAAGCAAATCTAAAGAAAAATATTTATTTGTAAGTATCCTTAAAAAATTGATTATAATATTTAACGAAATACTAGCAAAATTTAATAATTAATTACTTAGAAGTAAATTGTAAATAAATATTTGATGACCAAACAGTTATGAATAAATGAATAAGTGAATAAATTATAAATAAATAATTACTCAATAATTATGTAAAAACAAATCATAAATAAATTAATGATTAATTAATAGTCTACATTCAAAATAAATATCAACAAAATTTTATTCTTTTCACCTTCTAGGAAATTTATACAATGGAGAACTTTGAGGACTTATCAGAAGAAACTCAAAAGATGCTTTTAGAACGAGAAATAATATTCCAGAACGAAAAAATCAGTTTAAATAAATTAATTTCAAGTGAAAATCTAAAACAGATTATTGATGCAGAAACATTAGTGGAACTTAAAATGAATCCAGAAATAAAAATTGGAACCAAACCGCCAAGAACGAAAGATTTAGAAGGAGCATATTGTACATTATTTGAAGAAATCAGTATGAAAGGGTTCATTAATACATTGCAACACGATAATCACAATATTTACATCATTAGCGGAATAGCAGGAGACGATAAAAAGGAAACTCTAATTAAGCATCTAAATGACAATCTCATTGACAAAAGTATTAAAAGTCAAATAACAGATATCGAAGAGAGCATTACCCGAATTATTAACACAAGAATACAGATATTTGACAATCAATTCGAATTCAAACAATTCAAAAAAATATGTGGAGAGAATTTTGACAAAAGGATTTATTGGATAAAATTACAAGAATCAAAATTAAAATTGACAAAAATCTACAAACCTGATTTTTATCTCGAGGCAAAGAGATTCAATGATCAAGTAATTATCGACAGGAATATAAAACAACTACTATCAAGTCCAAAATTATCGGAAACATTTATTTTCATCAATATCACCAAAAAGCAGTTAACAAGTTGGTTACAATTTCCCAATGAACATAAAATATTGAAATTTTACCAAAATTGCAATCATAATCGAATTAGATTTGTAACATCAAACGAAAATTCTTTTGAATGTATTCTTAAAAACACTTCTCAACTCATAGACGACGAAAATCCAAAAGAAGCCGTTCATTTACTTGAATTTAGACAAGGTCAGATTGTTTTGCTCAAAAGTCACGGTTCCTTGGAAGAATTGAGTAAACACCGAAGTGAGAAGTACAAAAATAGTAAATCTTTACTAGACGAACGAGATTTGATGGAAAAAATTAGGAATCAAAAATGTGTTATTATTGCCGGTTGTCCAGGTGTTGGAAAAAGTACAAGTATGATTAAATTATTGGAAAAGTTTGGTTCAGAAGAGACCCATTGGGTAATTAGAATTGATCTGGAAATGATAGCGGTGGGAAAAATTAATTTTAGTCATGATGATAATGATGCTAATGATAAGAATGGTAAGGATCATGATGCTAATGATAATGATGGTAAGGACAATGATGCTAATGATGACAATACTCCAGTCGACATAGACAAAGTGGCAGATTTCTTGCTAGATTTTCTAGAAACTCAGAAGAATAGTTTTACCAAAACGTTGCTGAATTTAGCCCTACGTGACGAAAATTTCAAAAGACCGTTACTACTCGCTTTTGATGGCTTTGATAATCTAGACAAAAACAACAGAAGCAATGTTATCTCATTGTTGAAATTTTTAAAGGACAAAACACATGTCAAACTTTTGATAACAACTCCTCCCAATTGTCAGCAAATTTTAGAAGCTTCCCTATCGACATTTGCTGTAAAACTTGAAGCTATGGATGATTCAACAACAACCGAATTCATCAAAAATTATTTAAACAATTTCAGTTTGCTATCAAGTGCAGAAGAGGATGATATTAAAGAAGATTTCAGTTTTCCATCAGACACAGAAGATGATGACAGTAAAAAAGAAAGTTCAATAACATACGTACAATCCCTTTTAGCCAAAATGCAAAAAGTGTTCAATTGTTCCGAAAGTTTTGGCAATCCCCTGCTGATAAATTTAATCCTACACGGTTCTGCAGTACATTTCAAAACATGGCTTCAAGATAAAAACAAGGTTCCGGATTTTAGTTATGTAGGCGATGATCTTTGGGAAGTATTGGAAAATTTTATTGAAAGAAGTTATAATATTTACTTTCAGATAAATTCAGAAGAGAACACTGTAAGAAGGATGCAAGATAAAATAATTTTCGACAAGTACCACAAAGATTTGGCGAAATTTTTACTTTTCAAATCAGTCAAAGAGGAATATTTGGAGGAATTGAAGGAAATCGTTTCTTCTGTTGGAACTATTCGGTATCATCAAATTAACTCTATTCAATCATCAAGTAACTTGACTCAATCATCAGTCAACTTAACTCCATCAACAGTCAACTTTACTCCATCATCAATCAACTTTGCCCACCCAATTTTTAGCGAATACTTCTCAACCAAAATTTTCACCAACTGGATACGAAAATGGAAGAGAGAAAATGGGACCAAATTCCCGAATGCTGAGAAAAAGAAATTTTTCACAAAAGTACTAGTGGAACCGGATTTTAGAATAGTGAGAAAATTCCTAAACACCTATTTCTTGAAGGAAAGACCTAAAGACGTCTGTTTCGAAAAAGAACTTTATCACCCAACCATTCTGTTTAGGGCAATCGAGGAAAACAATCCGGGAATCGTAAATTTCGTCCTAGACAATTTTGACCAAATGGATCTTAATTCTACGGACGAAAACGGAACATCTCTTTTGTGTACTGCAGTAATATCTACTAATTTCGACATTGTACAACTTTTAATCCACCTGGGTGCCACAATCGATACAACAGTCCTCTACACTGCAGTTGAAACTGAAAATTTAGAAGTTGTCCAATTTTTACTAAAAAAAGGAGCAGATATTAATTGCACAGATAAATTAGGTCGCAAAATTTTACAAATAGCAGCCGATTCGAATTTTTTCCAATATGAATTCCTACAGACTGAATCTGAATCTAAAGCAGAAATTGACAAATTAAAAATGGTCAGATTTTTAATAGAGCAGGGAGCGGATATTCACCCCAAGGATGACAGATATTCCAAATCTTTACTGGAGTACTCGGTGGAAATATCAAATTTTACAATGGTCGAATTTTTATTGGGGAAAAACTTTGATGTCAATGCTCGTGACAAATATGGTAGAACAGTTTTGTATTACGCATTCGAATCAGGCAATTTACAGATGGTCGAATTTTTACTAAAGAAAGGCGCGGACATCAACATCGAGGATAATAACGGAATACCAATGTGGACCATAGGGTTCGAAACAGCTACAATCGAAATCGTTGATCTTCTGATAAAAAACGGTGTAGATGTCGACATGATGATTAACTATAAGGACTATTCTCATAAAACTCTTTTGCACACTGCAGCTCTAAGTGGCAGTTTACAAACATTCGAATTTCTAGCCAAAAACGGTGCTAACTTGAATGCTGAAGACCAATTTGGAAAATCGGTTCTGCATTTTGCGGTGACGAAGGTACAATTTCATATTATCGAATTTTTGGTACAACATGGTGCGAAGTTTAATGCTAAAGACCTAAATGAAAAATCCGTCTTGCACTATGCTGTCGAGTTTGGTACTTATAAAATCGTCGAGTATTTGGTTGAGAACGGTGCTAAGCTTAATGATGAGAATATATATGGTGAGACAATTTTGCACTATGCTTGTAAATTTGGTGATTTGAAACTAGTTGATTTTCTTGTACAGAAAGGCGCTGTGGTAAATGCTAAGCAAAAGAATGGGAAATCTGTTTTGCACTACGCGGCAGAACGGGGCGACTTTAAGATTGTTAAGTACTTAGTAACGCAGAAAGCTGAGATCAACGAGGAGGACAATTCTATCACATCGATTTTACACTCTGCTGCCGGTTATGGCAGTTTGGAAATGGTAAAATTTTTGGTTGCTGCCGGCGCTAATGTGCGTGCTAGAGACCAAAGTGGTAGATCTGTTCTGCACAGAGCTGTGGACGTTAATAATTTGGAAATGGTAAAATTCCTAATGAACGGTGTGGATAAGGACGAAATAGCCCGAAGCGAGGATCATTACGGGGCTACTCTTTTACACATTGCAGCAGAAAATAATAATTTCGAGATGGTACGATTCCTAACTGAACAAGGAGCGATAGTTAATGCTATAAATATGCATTCCTATTCGGTTTTGCACACTGCGATCGAATCGGCCGACATGGACATGGTCGAATTTCTGATCAATAAAGGTGCCAAGGTGAATGTTATGGATAGATGGGGCATAACAACTTTGCACATAGCGGCAAATAAACGTGACTTTGAAATGGTGAATTTTTTGATACAAAAAGGAGCGGATGTTAACGCAAAAGATCACAATGGTAGATCCGTATTGCATTGTGCAGCTGAAAATGGTAACCAACAGACGGTTGAATATCTAATAGAAAAAGGTGCCAACGTATATTGTAAGGATCAAAACGGTAGGGGCATTCTACAAACGGCAGTCGTCTACAACCAATGGAATTTGGTTCAATTTCTACTGGAGCAATGCGATGATCAGATGAAATACAAAAATAAAATGGGGTGTTCACTAATTCATAAAGCGTGTGAAACGGATAATTTTGCTATTGCTGAATTTTTGCTGCAACGTGGGGCTGATATCAATGAAAAGTACAAAGATGGTAGTTCTCTTTTACACTGTGCGACTAAATATGCTGACATAAAGTTACTTGAATTTCTTCTAAAGCACGGTGCGGATATTCATGCTAAGGATAACAATGGTAAAACAGCTTTGCAATATGTGAGTGATAATATTGACAATTATTCCTCTTCATTGAGAAATGATCATGATCCCAAGAAGACAATTGAATTATTGACAAGTAATGGGGCCGATATTAATTCGCTGGATATTAAGGATTTTTACTATTATCCTGATATCGTTGATTATATAAAGGGAAAACAGGAACAAATGACTGCAGAATAAATAGCTGTATTACTTACATTTTTCAAAAATTTGAAATGTACATTTGATTTGAACAATAAATAATTTTTTTTAAACTATCTATACACTACCGTCGGGAATTATCGGTACGGCTGCACGCGCACGGCCCAAAAACATACCAATCATTAAATCAGGATTTTTTTGTAAATACAAATGTCAAAAAATTAACAAATATACCATTCGAAAGATTATTAAATTCTACGATTAATGATACATAACTGAAAATTTTAATAATTTATACAAAGATTGCAGCAATCAACAAATTTGACAAAAAAATTTTAAAAATAAAATTTTTTTTGGAGATTTTTTCAAACCCTGCACATTTTCTAAAATATGTAGAAAAAATTTAAAACTTCTATAGGTGTGATCATTCAAGTCTCATCTTTAATTTATGACCAAAAGAGTTTAAAAATCTTATTCGGTTCGTGCAGGGGTTGAAAAAAATTCCAAAAAAAATTTACTTTTAAAACTTTTTTGTCAAATTTGTCGATTGCTGCAATCTTTGTATAAATTATTAAAATTTTCAGTTATGTATTATTAATCGTAGAATTTAATTATCTTTCGAATGGTATATTTGTTAATTTTCTGACATTTGTATTTACAAAAGAATCGTGATTTAAAGATTAGTATGTTTTTGGGCCGTGCTCGTGCAGCCGTACCGATAATTCCCGACGGTAGTGTACATAATACCTTTTGCTCTAAATTTCATAAACAAAAAGATCCTTTTCCACTTTTCTTGAAATTTCAATAATTAAAAGTCAAAATTTTAAATAACAATTTGTTAAAATATATACTAATTTGTTAAAACTTTTATGTAATCATTTAATTATAAATAAGAAAATTTTAATAATAATTGATTGAAGTTTTAAATAAACATTGAAAATTCAAATAATAGTTTGTCAAAATTTTTAAATAAATAACAATTCAATATTATAATTAAAAGAATTTTAAATAAAAATTATGGATGAAAGTTTAAACAATAATTGAGCCTCGCAATTCAATTTGTTAAATATTTTTTAAATAATTAACAAATCAATTATAAATAAAAAAAATTTTATAAATAATTTATTAAAATTTTAAATAATTGAAATTTCAAGTAATATTTTAAAAAATTTAAACAAAACACAAACATTTTCAACAACAACCATTTGTTAGAATTTTTAAATGAATAATTAAAAGCAAATTAAATTAATAACTGGTTAAAATTTCAAATAATATGGTAGTTGCACCAGTGAAAGCACTATACAAAAAATATTTTTTAGTTTCTTATTTCTTCAAAATATAGTTTTTGATCAAAAAAATTGATTTAATATGCAAGTTATTTCTGAAAATAATTTTTTTATTTTTTGGTGGGTTATGAACATGATAAATAAACGAAGCATAAACAGAAAAAAGGTTACAAGTTTCACGTGCAATTAAATAATATCTCTGGGTGCGTAATCAGGAAAATATGATTGAAGAATGTCAATTAAATGTAAAAAATATCGAAAGTATACATTTTCTTAAATGTTACTTTCACTGGTGCCACTACCCTATAGTTTTTAAAAATTTCGAATAAAAATTGTTAAAACTGTAAATAACAATTCAAAAATGAAAAAAAAATTTCAAATAATAATTGGTTGTGAATTTAAAATAATAATTTGTAAATGGTAGAAACTGGTTAAAACTATTTGTAAGTTGTACAAAATGATTAAAAATACTTGTAAGCAGTAAAAAATAGTCTTCTGCTACTTGTAAACAGTAGAAAGTACTTTCTAGTAGGAAAAATAGTTATTTTATTATCAGAATAGTAAAATATCGTTAAATTATTGATTAATTAACTACCTATAACAATAATAATAATAATTATTATTATATAATGTTATAATTATAGTTGTAATTAATTACATTATAAATATTAATTAATAATTTATAATTATTAATTAAACACAAAACATTTTTTCGATTCAGTAGTAAAAATCAATTTTGGTCAGACAATTTTTTAAATCGATATTTATTGCTCCTGACAGTGGACAACAGTCAGAAAAAAAGGCTCGCAGGTTAACAGGTTGCTTATCCACAGGCGTGCGATATAAACCTTACAAATGCGCATGATTAGAGCTTAGAGGAGACGCTCAACAATTTCGTTCATTTCGCTTTATTTCATAATGTTGTTTCATCTCTCGCAATAAACAGTTTTAGTCAGCCGACATAGTTCAGTCCTGCAGAACTACATATACATAAGCAAGTGAATTGACAGTTCATTTCTGATTCACTGCCTGGGAAAGTGACAAAATTTATTTCATCGGAACGTAAAGTAGAAAATAAAATAATTTTTCTGATTATACACCTTGTCCTTTTGAAGTAACAGTAAAAAAAAGTAAACCGAATATAACCTAAAAGTAAAGTTTCAACTTGTGAAGCCGGTAAGTATTTTTTTAACATAATAAAAGTAATGGAAAAATTATAATAATTCCAATTTGTTCCCTTGTTTTTTTAAACGATTCGTTTTTGATTTTATAAAATTTAAAAACGAAATATTACATTAAATAAGCCAATTGTTAATGGATTGTATGTAATTATTTTATTATTTATATAATTATTATAATAAGAATTAGTAATAATGTGTACAAATAATAATTTATAATTATAATGATTAAAATTTGTTCCGTATTTTTTTTTCTAAAAGGATTCGCTTCCTTCATTTTAAAAGATAAATAACAAAATATGACACTAAATTAGGCAATAATCAATTAATTATATGCAGTGAGTTTATTACATATCTACTATAATAATAATAATAAGTAATAATAATAAAGAAATAATAATAATAATTAAAATTTGCCATGTAGTTTTTTTCTAAAACGATTCGCTATTTTGATATTAAAAGATAAATAAAAACATATGACACTAAATTACGCAATAATTAATTAATTAATTATATGTAATTATTTTATTAGATATCTATTGTAATAATAATGAAAAATAATAATAATTAATTATTAATAATTATACTAATTAAAATTTGTTCCGTAGTTTCTCTCTAAAACGAAACGCTTTTTTGATTTTAAAAGATAAAGATCAAATTTTGAAAGTAAATTAGGCAATAATTAATTAATTATTTGTAGTTACTTCATTACTTATCTATTATAATAATAATATAATAATAATAATAATAATAATAATAATATTAATTACTAATTCTAATAATTAAAATTTGTCCCGTAATTTTTTTCTAAAAAGATTCGCTTTTTATATTTTTAAAGATAAATAACAAAATATGACACTAAATTAGGCAATAATTAATTATATGTAAGTATTTTATTTATTTTGAATTGCAATAATGATTAATAATAATGATAATAATCAAAATCATAGTAATTAAAAATTGCTTTGTAGTTTTTTTAATCGATTCTTTTATTTTATTTTATAAGATAAGATAAACTTTATCGGGCCTTACAGTGTAACATTATATTAGTAAATAATTAATTATTTATACATCATTAATAATCATAAATAATAGATAGTTATTTATTTTATTCAAATTTATTATTTTTTCAGAACGAAATCAAAAAGAGAAAAGAAAATCTATAAAGTGAATTTGCTTTATTACTCTTACAATTTATCTTTCCGTCTGCAATTACTAAATCATCGTTCTATTTTTTCATCAACAATAATCAACATTTCAAGCAACTCTAAAAAAAATACTTATTTGTAAGTATCCTTAAAAAATTGATTATAATATTTAACGAAATACTAGCAAAATTTAATAATTAATTACTTAGAAGTAAATTGTAAATAAATATTTAATGACTAATTAGTTAAGAATAAATGAATAAGTGAATAAATTATAAATAAATAATTAGTCAATAATTAGGTAAAAACGAATTATAAGTAAATTAATAATTAATTAATAGAATACATTCAAAATAAATATCAACAAAATTTTATTCTTTTCACCTTCTAGGAAATTTCAACAATGGAGAACTTTGAGGACTTATCAGAAGAAACACAAAAGATGCTTTTAGAACGAGAAATAATATTCCAGAACGAAAAAATCAGTTTAAATAAATTAATTTCAAGTGAAAATCTAAAACAGATTATTGATGCTGAAACATTAGTGGAACTCAAAATGAATCAAGAAATAAAAATTGGAACCAAGCCGCCAAGATCGAGAGATTTAGAAGGAGCATATTTTACATTATTTGAAGAAATCAGTATGAAAGGGTTCATTAATACATTACAACACGATAATCACAATATTTACATCATTAGCGGAATAGCAGGAGACGATAAAAAGGAAACTCTAATTAAGCATCTAAATGACAATCTCATTGACAAAAGTATTAAAAGTCAAATAACAGATTTCGAAGAGAGCATTACCCGAATTATTAACACAAGAATACAGATATTTGACAATCAATTTGAATTCAAACAATTCAAAAAAATATGTGGAGAGAATTTTGACAAAAGGATTTATTGGATAAAATTACAAGAATCAAAATTAAAATTGACAAAAATCTACAAAACTGATTTTTATCTCGAGGCAAAGAGATTCAATGATCAAGTAATTATCGACAGGAACATAAAACAACTACTATCAAGTCCAAAATTATCGGAAACATTTATTTTCATCAATATCACCAAAAAGCAGTTAACAAGTTGGTTACAATTTCCCAATGATCGAAAGAAATTTGAATTTGAACATAATTACGAACATCATCGAATTAGATTTGTAACATCAAACGAAAATTCTTTTGAATGTATTCTTAAAAACACTTCTCAACTCATAGACGACGAAAATCCAAAAGAAGCCGTTCATTTACTTGAATTTAGACAAGGTCAGATTGTTTTGCTCAAAAGTCACGGTTCCTTGGAAGAATTGAGTAAACACCGAAGTGAGAAGTACAAAAATAGTAAATCTTTACTAGACGAACGAGATTTAATGGAAAAAATTAGGAATCAAAAATGTGTTATTATTGCCGGTTGTCCAGGTATCGGAAAAAGTACAAGTATGATTAAATTATTGGAAAAGTTTGGTTCAGAAGAGACCCATTGGGTAATTAGAATTGATCTGGAAATGAAAGAGGTGGGAAAAATTAATTTTAGTAAGGATGATGATGATGCTAATGATAATGATGGTAAGGATCCTGATGCTAATAATGACAATGGTAAGGATGATGATGCTAATAATGCTAATGATAATGATGGTGAAGATAATTATGCTGCTGATAATGATGCTAATGATAATGATGCTTTTGGTAGTCTGCTAACGGCACTATCATTATCATCACTATCATTAGGTAGTGATTCTAAAGATAGTGATGCTACCGATAATGATGCTGATGATATCAATACTCCAGTCAACTTAGACAAAGTAGTAGATTTCTTGCTAGATTTGCAAGAAACTCAAAAGAATAGTTTTACCAAAACGTTGCTGAATTTAGCCCTACGTGACGAAAATTTCAAAAGACCGTTACTACTCGCTTTTGACGGCTTTGATAATCTAAACGAAAACAACAGAAGCAATGTTATCTCATTGTTGAAATTTTTAAAGGAGAAAACACCTGTCAAACTTTTGATAACAACTCCTCCCAATTGTCAGCAAATTTTAGAAGCTTCCCTATCGACATTTGCTATAAAACTCGAAGCTATGGATAATTCAACAACAACCGAATTCATCAAAAATTATTTAAACAATTTCAGTTTGCTATCAAGTACAGAAGAGGATGATAGTAAAAAAGATTTCAGTTTTCCATCAGACACAGAAGATGATGACAGTAAAAAAGAAAGTTCAATAACATACGTACAATCCCTTTTAGCCAAAATGCAAAAAGTGTTCAATTGTTCCGAAAGTTTTGGCAATCCCCTGCTGATAAATTTAATCCTACACGGTTCTGCAGAACATTTCAAAACATGGCTTCAAGATAAAAACAAGGTTCCGGATTTCAGTTATGTAGGCGATGATCTTTGGGAAGTATTGGAAAATTTTATTGAAAGAAGTTATAATATTTACTTTCAGATAAATTCAGAAGAGAACACTGCAAGAAGGATGCAAGATAAAATAATTTTCGACAAGTACCACAAAGATTTGGCGAAATTTTTACTTTTCAAATCAGTCAAAGAGGAATATTTGGAGGAATTGAAGGAAATCGTTTCTTCTGTTGGAACTATTCGGTATCATCAAATTAACTCTATTCAATCATCAAGTAACTTGACTCAATCATCAGTCAACTTAACTCCATCAACAGTCAACTTTACTCCATCATCAATCAACTTTACCCACCCAATTTTTAGCGAATACTTCTCAACCAAAATTTTCACCAACTGGATACGAAAATGGAAGAGAGAAAATGGGACCAAATTCCCGAATGCTGAGAAAAAGAAATTTTTCACAAAAGTACTAGTGGAACCGGATTTTAGAATAATGAGAAAATTCCTAAACACCTATTTCTTGAAGGAAAGACCTAAAGACGTCTGTTTCGAAAAAGAACTTTATCACCCAACCATTTTGTTTAGGGCAATCGAGGAAAACAATCCGGGAATTGTAAATTTCGTGCTAGACAATTTTGACCAAATGGATCTTAATTCTACGGACGAAAACGGAACATCTCTTTTGTGTACTGCAGTAATATCTACTAATTTCGACATTGTACAACTTCTAATCAACCTGGGTGCCACAATCGATGCAACAGTCCTCCACACTGCAGTTGCAACTGAAAATTTAAAAGTTGTCAAATTTTTACTAAAGAAAGGAGCAGATGTCAATTGCGAAGATAAATTAGGTCACAAAATTTTAAAAACAGCTGCTGATTCGAATTTTTTCCAGCATGAATTCCTCAAATCTGAATCTGTATCTGAATCAGAATCAGAAATTGACAAATTAAAAATGGTCAGATTTTTAATAGAGCAGGGAGCGGATATTCACGCCAAGGACAGATATTCCAAATCTTTACTGGAGTACTCGGTGGAAATATCAAATTTCAATATGGTCGAATTTGTACTGCAAGAAAATTTTGATGTCAATGCTCGTGACTGTTATGGTAGGTCAAGTTTGTATTACGCGTTCGAATCAGGCAATTTGCAGATGGTCGAATTTTTACTAAAGAAAGGCGCGGACATCAACATCGAGGGTAATTACAGAATACCAATATGGACCATAGGGTTTGAAATGGCTACAATCGATATGATTGATCTTCTGATAAAACACGGTATAAATGTCGACATAATGATTAATTATAAGGACTATTCTCATAAAACTCTTTTGCACACTGCAGCTCTAAGTGGCAGTTTACAAACATTCGAATTTCTAGCCAAAAACGGTGCTAACTTGAATGCTAAAGACCAAAATGGAAAATCGGTTCTGCATTATGCAGTAACGAAGGCACAATTTCATATTGTCAAATTTTTGATACAACATGATGCGAAATGTAATGCTAAAGACCAGGAGGAAAGGTCTGTTTTGCACTATGCGGTCGAGTTCGGCACCCAAAAAATCGTCGAGTATTTGATTGAGAACGATGCTAAGTTTTATGATAAGGATCGACACAGTGTGACAATTTTACACAATGCTTGTAAATTTGGCAATTTAAAACTAATTGATTTTCTTGTACGGAAAGGCGCTGTGGTGAATGCTAAGGATAAGGATGGGAAATCTGTTTTGCACTACGCGGCAGAACGGGGCGATTTGAAGATTGTTAAATACTTAGTGAAGCAGAGAGCTAAGATCAACGAGAGGGACAAGTATGTCAGATCCATTTTACACTCTGCTGCCGGTTCTGGTAATTTGGAAATGGTAAAATTTTTGGTTGCTGCCGGCGCTAATGTGCGTGCTAGAGACAAAAGTGGTAGATCTGTTCTGCACAGAGCTGTGGACGTTAATAATTTGGAAATGGTAAAATTCCTAATGAACGATGTGGATGAGGACGAAATAGCACGAAGCAAGGACGATTTTGGGACTACTCTTTTGCACACTGCAGGAAGAATTGGTAATTTAGAGATGGTACGATTCCTAACTGAACAAGGAGCGAACGTTAATGCTAAAAATAAGGAATACTATTCGGTTTTGCACAGTGTGATGGAATCGGCCAACAAGGACATTGTTGAATTTCTGGTCAATCAAGGCGCCAAGGTGAATTTTATGGATAGACGGGGCAGAACAATTTTGCACTTGGCGGCTGAGTATACAAACTTTGAGATTGTTAAATTTTTGATAGAAAAAGGAGCGAATATTTTAGTTGCCGACGAAAATGAACGAACGATTTTGCACATTGCGGCAATTAGAGGTGACTTTGAGATGGTGAATTTTTTGATACAAAAAGGCGCGGATGTTAACGCAAAAGATGACGAAGGCAGATCCGTATTGCATTGTGCAGCTGAAAGTGGTAGCCGACAGACGGTTGAATATCTAATAGAGAAAGGAGCCAACGTACATTGCAAGGATCAAAACGGTAGGAGCATTTTACAAGCAGCAGTTATCTACAACCACTCGAATTTGGTTCAACTTCTACTGGAGCAATGCGAAGATCAGATTAAATACAAAAATAAAATGGGTTCTTCATTAATTCATTTAGCGTGTGAAACGGATAATTTTGAGATTGCTGAATTTTTGCTGCAACGTGGGGCTGATATCAATGAAAAGTACAAAGATGGTAGTTCTCTTTTACACTATGGGACTAAATGTTCTGACATAAAGTTACTCGAATTTCTTCTGAAGAACGGTGCAGATATTCACGCTAAGGATAACAATGGTAAAACAGCTTTGCAAAATGTGAGTGATACTATTTACAATTATTCCTATTCGTGGAGATATGATCGCAAGAAGACAATTGATTTATTGACGAGATATGGGGCCGATATTAATTCGCTGGATATTAAGGATTTTCACTATTATTGTGATATCGTTGATTACATAAAGACAAAACAGGGACAAAAGACTGAAGAATAAATATCTGTATTATTTATATTTTTCAGAAGTTTGAATTTTTTACTTGAAGAAAAGCAGCACGAATTATTGTAAAATAAATATTTATATTTTGGCTAAATTTTTAGTTATCGAAAAAAAGCACAAATATCTGTAGAATAAATATTTCTATTTTAACTAAATTACACATCAATTACAAAACTTGAAAACAATTATGTAAATTTGATTCCAACAATAAATAATTTTTTTAACACTATAATTAATACCATTTGCTCCAAAATTCATATACCTAAAAATACTTATCCATATCCATGCTTAACAATTCAAATAGAAACAAAAAAATTTTAATCATAATTTCAAATTATTATTTGTTAAAATTTTAAATAATTGAAATTTCAAGTGATATTTTAACAAATTTAAACAAAACACAAACATTTGTTAAACTTTATAAATAAACAATTTAAAAAAGTACAAAATTAATAATTGGTTAAAGTTTTAAATAATAATTTGTCCAAAATTCGAATGAAAATTTGTTGAAACTGTAAAAACAATTCAAAAACAAATAAAAATTTTTTAATTAATAATTTGTTGAGAATTCAAATAATAATTTGTTAAAATTTTTAAGTACAAAACTATTAAATTACTATTAAAAATTTTTTTTTAAATAATTAGTTGAAATTTAAGATAATAATTTTATATCATTTTAAATAAAATTTCAATTAGAAATGAAAAATAATTGTTAATTGAATTTTTGAATAAGAATTTGTTAAATATTCAAATAATAATAAGTTTAAAATTTAAATTTTAAATAATTAAAATTTCAAGTAATATTTTAACTAATTTAAACAAAACACAAAAATTTGTTAAAATTCTTAAATTACTAACAATTTAATTGTACATAAAAAGAAATTACTTAAAAATTGAAAATAAAAATTTATTAAAACTTTAAATAACATTTGAAAAAAACAAATAAATTTTTTTTAAATAATTGGTTGAAAATACAATTAATAATTTGTTATAATTTTAAATAAATAACAATTAAATTAGTAATAAATAGATTTTAACTATAATAATTGGTTGAAATTTTAAGTGAAAATTAAATTATAAGTAAAAAAAATAATGGAAATTTAAAAAAAATAATTTTTTTAAATAGTCAAATAATAATTTGTGTAAAGTTTGTAAAGAACAATTCAATTGTAAGTAAACGAATGTTTAAATAATAATTGATTGAAATTCCATATAATAATTTCTGAAAATTTAAATTTACAATTTGCGTACAAATTTAAATACAAATTTCAAATAATATTTTGTTAAAATTATAAATAATTAAGCTTTTAAATAATAATTTGTCAAAATTATTAAGCAAATGACAATTGAATTATAAATAAATTTTTAATAAATAATAATTGGAGGAAACTTTAAATACTAATGTATTAAAATCGTTAATTATCAAAATAGTTGAATTATTAATTTAATTAGAATTTTAAAAAATTGTGAATTAATAATTTAATTAAAAAGTAAAAAAAAATTGTTAATTAGAATTTTAAATAATAATTACTTTTCACAAAGTGTGATAACTTCAATTAAAAACATCAATTAAAAAACTATTAAAAAGCAATTAAAAATGACTAATTAACATATATTATTATATTTTCGATAAAATTATAGATAAATAATTAATTGTTAACATTTCTATTATTCGCAGATCTGGCCTAATTATCATGGCATTGGTAATGCTGCCTTGTGACCTGCCATGGTGGCCAGCAGTGATAAAACAATTGGACAAGGCAGCGGCTGCCAGAAATACAAAAGAGCTTTTAGACATAATGCTAAAGCTCCACGATATGTGCAAGTAGGTATCAAAAAAAAATAAAATAAAATAAAAAAAAAATTCCTCCCATTCTACTTAAATTTCTATATATATATAATTAATGAAACTCGATATTTGAAAATTAAAAAAATGTATTTTAATAATTTTTTTTCTCCCTTTAATCAACATATCTCAAAAATGAGAACAGTTCCTGTTTCGATGCTTGTCAGCTGCAAACATCCGTATTCTATATGTACAGTAGCCAGTTATATTCAGACTCTGATCTCACTATATAGCCGCAGTGTCTATTTCGCTTTCTATATAACACTGTCCACGCTATAATTGAATTAAAAATAAATCACTACTGGACGCGTGTTTCCAAACATACTTTGACATTTGCCTTGTTTCTCAAAATTCTCAATTTGACCCAAAAACGTTTATCATATTAAAATTCCGATAAAAATTTATCCTAAACATCAAATTTAGTTCGTCTTTACTGCTATTTTTAGGAGCTATTGTTATTTTTAAACGATTGTCATGTGTTATTTTTAACAAAATAAAAAAAATAATAATAGTAAATAATCAATAATAAATTAATAATAATAACTATTTAATATTGATAAATAATTAAATAATAATAATAATAATAATAATAATAATAATAATAATAATAATAATAATAATAATAATAAATAATTATTATTCAACAATAATTTATTAATTATTATCACACTGCTCTATTTCCATAATAATAATAATTATTATTATTAATTCAATTGTTATTATTACTATTACTACTATTTACGTTATTAAAAAAATATTACTAAACTTTCTATTTACAAAAAATCGATTTTAAAAAAATTAAAATTATTTTAACTTTTTAAAAAATTTTAAAATTGTTTATTGAAAATTTTAATTATTATACGATATGCAACATACAATAACAAACAAAAATTTTCAAAAATAAATCACTTTTAAGAATATGATTTCAAATATATATTCTAAAAATTTCAAAACGTGTCTTATCAACTATTTTAACGTTAAAATGAAAGAAATATTTTTTCAATATAAAAAATTCTCAAAAATAGTTGCAGTTTGCATTAAAAATAAAATACAAATTTTAAATTAAATTTGAACTTTGTAAATTTTTGGAACTTTATAAATTATTAAATTATTAAATTATTAAATTATTAAAAATTGAAAATTAAAAATGATTTAAAAATTAATTTGAATTTTTTTTTTAAATTAATTTTGTATAAAAAAATAAAAAAAAATTGAACTTTATAAATTATATTTTAATACGCAATCGCAAAATTATTATAATAAAATTTAAATACAAAACAAAATTAAATTATTTATTGGTTTATTTATTTATATAAATAAATAAATAACAATATATAAATTATTTATTAATTATTATTATTTCTATTATATTTAATATTTATTGAATTAAATTTATTTATATATTTAGTTATTTAATTCAATTATTTATATTCAAAAAACATTACCAATTCAATAATTTATATTTAATAAACAATACCAATTCACTGAGAAAAATTTTTTTTAATTCAAAAATAAGTAGCCACCAGAAAAGTATATTATCATATTTTATAATTGAAGTTTATTGAATTAATAAATTTTAATAATTAAATTAATTAAATTTTTATTGAATTAAATATTGAAACAAAATAATTATGTTTAAATAAAAATAATTTATAACAAAGATAATTTTGTTTGATACAAACATATTGTTTTCTCAGTATTCAATTATTTATATTCCATAAACAATACCAAATTAATTATTTATTTAAATAGGAATAAAATGTCGTTCATTTGAACTTTAAAAAATTAAGGGACGTAAATTTTGAACGACAGTTTAATTCCTCTTTTAATTTAAATATTAGTAAATAAATATTTTCAAATTCGGCTCCTCTTGTAATAACAATTTTTAAAAATGAAAAAAAGAAAAAATGTTGAAAAGTAGCATAATTTTTAGGAATTTGATTTTGAATGTTCTAAGAATTTCAAAACGTGTCTTAGATTTTTTTTTTTGATGAAATTTGTGTCAAAAATTAAAATGTATTCTATTTCCGTAAGACGTGCGTTGTGGCAGAGAATTTTTGAGGAATTTTAGAGAATAAAATATTGGTATTAAAATTCACCTCCTGCTGACAAGTATATGTTTACAGACTTTGTTTGAAATTTAAATGAAAAAAAAAAACTATTTTTTATTAACTTTGAAATTTTATTTTTAGCATCAGTCTCGATCCTGATGAGGATAATCACGATTCCGATTTATTCGACGCTTTTGAACGATTTTTAGAGGACGATCTCACAGCCGCAGAACGAAAACAAGTGTTTTTAAAGACAATACCAAAAATCGTTGAAAGAGCAAAAGCTCTGAGATCATGTAAACCACCGTTGGGTTTACATTTCAGTTTACAACAACAAGGTAAATCGTTTTAATTTTTTTTTCTGTAATTTGTTCATTCTATGAATATTTTTTTATTTCTTTAATTAAATTTTAATTTTAATTTGTAATTTTTATTTTTTTAGTTTAATTTTATTTTTTAATTTTAATATTAATTTTTATTTTTTAGTTTTACTTTCATAGTTTTAATTTACTTTTGAATTTTTATTTTTTTTTATTTGCTATTTTTTCATTCTATAACTTACAGCGATTCGGAAAAAATATTTAAAATTTATTTTTTAAATTATATTATTGTTATTTTTCAGGTGACACTGTAGATTATAATTATGGCTTTGTATCATCATTGATAGCGAATGCTTTTTTCTCAACTTATCCAAAACGAACAGCAAAGACTCATCCCACACTCAGGGACTTTAATTTCACCCATTTTTTTCGAAATTTACATTTGTAAGTTCTTCTCATTTTATGATGAGAATAAATTAAAATAAAATAGATAAATTTTTCCGGTAAAAAATAATAATTGCAATTTTTCATCATTAAATAATTTTTCAGAAACTCGCAGAAAGCTAAATTACGATGTATATTCAATTATTTCGATTATCTAGAGAAGGAAAACGCGTTAGAGGGAAAAATCACAATATCAAGACAGGTATGAATATTAAATTATAATTACTAAAGTAATTTTAATATTAAAATTTATATTAAAATTGTATTTATTTTTTTATTCACTTAGTATCAAAGCGAAAAAAATTAATTTTAATATTATTTTTTACCAATTCCGAAGTAAATTTTACTAATTTTTACTTTTTTTATTTTTAATTTAGTAAAAATCTTGGAAACTTTAAAGCAAAAGTAGAATTCTAACAAAAATTTTGATTCAAAATTTTCGAAAAATTGTAAATTATGGACAAAAATAAAAAAATATTAATAATCAAGTAAAGTGGCTAAAATAATAAAACTAAGCCCGTTGGTACTTAAAATATTAATAAATAAATTAAAATATAATAAATATAATTAAATTATTATTTAAATAATTTATTTGTTAATTTAGATTAAAATTTATAATTTAAATAATAATTTTTTTCTTTCTGATAAAAATAGGTAATGACGTCCAAACAATGGTTAACAATTGAAGACTGGCTAGAGTGTAGTGTACCTCTTTGTCCTTTATCTATTCGACATGAAGGTCGCTTAGATCGAATAGAAGCAGAAACAAAGGTTTTGCACGTTTGTTTTTCAAGTTCGAGATTAGGTGGTGGAGTTTTAGAAGAACAATTTTCACAAGAAACTATATATGTAAGTAAGTATACAATTTTTTATTTTAACTATTAATGAAAAATATTTCCAATCTAATTGATTTTATCGAACAAAATAACAACAATAAAGAAAAATATTAACATTTCGAAAATAAAAAAAACCTCTTTTAATAAATAATGTACTGATTGATGATAAGTACAATAAATGTTTTTATTTAATTAAAATTTTCCAGTTATGCACACATCCTGAACTACTTTCTGCAATGCTATCTGTCGAGGCCTTAGAAGACAACGAAGTTTTGATAGTAGAGGGAGCAAGACATTTTTCCCGCATAAATGATCCCAGAAACAGAACTTCTTTTGAAGCTATTTCTCAACCGTGTACCGTAAGTTTTTTTTTTGCCTTTTCTTAAAATAAATTTAATCGAATTTCAAAAAATTTTTTCTTCTCTTAACACAATTTTTTAGCCAGGGTTACCACAAATGTTTATTTTTGTTTTTCCCAGACTTTTCCCTGATTTCCAGACAAAATTTTATTGTAAAACATGATAAGAAGTCAATCACTCCGAGTGATCGATATCTTCATGCCTTATAATAATTTAAATTACCATAAAATTTTTCAAAAAAAATTTAATTATTTACAAAAATCCTAATAAAATACTTCACAAGAATTCAATTATTTTTACAAGTAGAAAAATTTCTCAAAAGAATTCAATCATTTAAAAAATATGTAATAAAAAATTCGTTGCAATAATTCAATTATTTAAATTCAAAATAAAATAATTGAATAATTATAAAATATTGAATAATTCAATGTTTGTTAAAATTGAATTCTTATAAAGAATTTTATCAACAAATTTTTAAGTAATTGAATTCTTCTAACGAATTTCAATAAAATTTTTAAGATAATTACTTTTTTCGAAAAATTTGATTAAAATTGTATATCAAAAATAATTAAAATCGTGCTATGAATTTTATTATTAATGAAAATAATTTAATTCCTGAGAACAATTTTATTATTTATAAAAATAATTAAATTATTGCGAAGAAATTTAAATTGAATTAATCAAAAGAATTCTTTGATGATTTTTAAAATAATTGAATTACTTCGTAGAATTTTATTGAAGTTTATGCAAATAATTAATAATTAAATTCATGCCAAGAATTTTATTAAAATTTTTGAAAACTAATTTAATTCTAGCAAAGAAACTTAATATTTCCCACAATAATTGAATTCCTAAAAAGGATTTTTTTATTTATGAAAATAATTTAATTCTTACGAAGAATTTTATTTAAATTTTATTACAATTTTTTAAAATAATTTAATTTCTGCCAAGAATTTGACTAAAATTTTCAAAAATATTTTAATTCTTCGCAAAAAATTTATTAAAAATTTTGAAAATAATTGAATTTTTTAAAGAAAATCTATTAAAATTGCATTATAAATAATTGAATTCTTGACAAAAATTTTATTAAAAATTTTGAAAATAATTGAATTTTTTTAGAGAAAATCTATTAAACTTGCATTGAAAATAATTGAATTTTTGACAAAAATTTTATTATCAATTTGAGAAATTTGATTAAAATTGTATTAAAAATAATTAAAATCCTGCTATGAATTATATTATTTATGAAAATAATTAAATTCCTGAGAACAGTTTTCTTATTTATAAAAATAATAGAATTATTGCGAAGAAATTTATAAAAAAAATTTGTAAATAATTAAAAAACTGAAAAATTTTTATTATTTATGAAAATAATTGAATGTTTGCGTAGAATTTTATTAAAATTTTTTTAAATAATTGAATTTCAGCGAAGAATTTTGTTGTTTATAAAAATAATTAAAATCATGATGAGAATTTTTTTTAATTTTTGAAAATAATTGAATTTCTGAAAAGAATTTTATTACTCTTGAAAATAATTTTATTCTTGTGATTAATATTATCATTTATGAGAATAATTAAATTTTGCAAAGATTTTTATTAAAATTATTGAAAACAATTGAATTTCTATAATGAAATTTGATATTTATCAAGATAATTGATTTCTTTCGTAGAATTGCGTTAAAATTTTGGAAATAATATTAAATACAAATTGAAAATCCAACTAATTTCAGAATTGAAATTAAAATTTTATTAAAAATATTTGAAATTCTGCGATGAGTTTTATTATTTACGAAAATAATTGAATCCATGTAAAAAATGTTGTTTATGAAAATAATTGAATTATTGAGAAGAAATTTATAAGAAATTGTAAATATAATTGAATTACTGTGAAATTTTTGCTATTTATAAAAATACTTGAAATTTTGAAGAGATATTTAAAAAAATTTTGAACATAATTGAATTGCTTTGAAAAATTTTATTACTTTTGAAAATAATTGAATTTCTCCAATCATTTGTAACTTTTCCTAAATTCAATTTTTTAAAAAGTATTTTTAATTAAAATTCTTCTATAAATCTATTATTTTTAATAATTAATTAAATATATATTGAAAAATGAATGAATTTGAATTATTAAAATTTTTGAAAAATCTAACTTCATTATAATTTCTAATGAAATTCATTCAAAACTGAAATTTTGTAAAATTTTAAATTAAAACCTTTTGAAGTTGATCTATTTATGAGAATTGTAAACGCAATTCTTGTAAAATTCAATTAATTATTGTGAGAAATTATTGTGAGAAATAGAAAAAATTGAAGGTTTTGTATTAGAATTTGTAGTCATTTCATAGTTTATACAAAAAAACATCAAAATTCAGAGTTTTCTTATGAATTTAAAAAATTTAATTTTTTCTCATACTTTTACTAAAAACCCCTGACTTTTCCCTGATTTCTCTGACCAATTCTAATTTCCCTGACATGTGGCAACCCTGTCTCAATTTGATATCTGCAGCAAAACTATGAAACTATACAAAGATTTTTAAAGAAGGAAAAGAAGATTTATTTTTCAAAGAAATTTTAAATTGTAAATCAAAAATTTTCGAACCAAGGTAACGGTATGCTGCATGGATGCGGAAGATTATTCTCACCTACCAATTAGTCAATTCGAAGAAGACAATATTTTACGAGAAATGAACAAATCTCTTTTGGGATTTCGACAAAGACATATTCCAAGTAGTCCCACGGACCCAGTGCGCACTGAATCCGATTCTGAAGCAAGTTTAAGTGCCCGAAGATTATCGCCAATTGGAGAAAGTTTTAGCAGTACACCACCGGAAATCGATCAGGAATTAAAACCGCCAACTGTAAATAGTACCGGAAGTCAAAGTACGGTTCAATATTCAAAATTCTCTCTATTTATTCTCAAAACATTTTCAAAAATAGTTTATAGTCAATTTCATACTCGAATTTTTCAAAAATAGTTTATAGTCAATTTCATACTCGAATTTTCGAAAATAGTCTATACTCAATTAATAACCAATCGTTATATTAATTAGAATGTTCTTCTAAATAGTTAACATGACAAAAAATAGTTTAGACGCTAATTCTAAATGTGCAAACTGATGGGATAATTTTTTTTGCAGCAAATGAGACGATTTTCAATGAAACCTGTGAGGGCACGAAAGAAATTAGAACACGAGGAAATGGAGCATCGAATCCTGGCCTAACAAATGCAACACTAAATTGTCCGAATAGAAAAAATCGCTTTATAGTTTTAGGATCGAGTGGAGAAATTTTACCAGTCACACGAAAATCAATAGGCCAAATGTCAGTTTACAGTAGTTGTAATAGTCAAAGTACTGACAGTTTTCATAGTGCTAAGGACACAATAGACGAAGATGCAGGTACTTAAATGTTTTCTTTCTTAATTTTCGAATCTTGCAGCGAGAAAAAAATATTTCAACTGCAACAGATTTATGTACTCTATTCGCTTCTAATTAATATTTATGAAAAAAATAATAAATACCTATCAATAATAAAAAAAAGGTCCAAAATATCTGATTATTTTTCTGATAGTAAAGGAAAATTTTTTGTTGTTAAACAGAAGACGATGAACAGAAATTATTCAAACGCTTCACTCAGATGGATTCCTCGGAGAGAAAAGGAACATTTGCTCAAAGACTTAAGGAAGCTTTAAAACGAGAAAGCTCGGCTACTTGTACATCTTCCAATAATTCTTCCACCGAAAGTAGCTATGCAGTTGGAATTAGTGTCACTGGTAGCCACGTGGGAGATCAGAACATTAAGTAGGCTTTTTTAACTTTACAAATTGAAATTGTTTCTCAAATTATAATCATAATTTAAATATTAAGTTATATTCAAAAACAGAATAATTTTTTTAAAATAAATATTTAAATACCCATTTTTTCCACAGGTATTAAAATATTTTAAATTATTTCAATGTAAAGCATTTTTGAAATTTAACTATATTTCTAAAAATTACAATTGTAATTTGTCCAAAATTCAAACATTTTTTTGTTAAAATCTTTAAATAAAATTATTTAAATAGAAAAATAAATATTGAATAATTGAATATTTTTAAAAATTGAATTCTTATAAAAGGAACTTTATCAAAAATTTTTTAAATAATTGAATTCTTCCGGAGAATTTTAATAAAATTTTAAAGGATAATTGCATTTCTCAAAGAATTCATTGGAAATTGTATTAAAAATAATTATAATTAAATTTAATTAATTATTTACTGAATTTCTGGAAAACTTTTATTTTTTATGAAAATAATAGACAAAAATTATTAAAAAAATAACATTTTTAAACACGAATTCAATTATTTCGAGAAAAATTGAATTTGGTAAGAGGAATTTAATTAAAATTGTACTGAAAATAATTGAATTTTCCGAAAATAATTTATAACTTATAAAAATATTGAATTCTTACGAAGAACTGTATTAAAAAAAATTTTTTTAAATTGAATTCTTTTGGAAAATTTTAATTAAATTGTAGAGATATTGAAAATAATTAAATTCCTAACAATTTTTTAAACTAATTTTCTACGAAGAATTTGATTAATGTTTTTTAGAAATAATTGAATTCCTGCGAAGAATTTTATTAAAAATTGTTAAAATTAATTGAATACTTAAACAATTTTTTAAATAATTTTTTACGAAGAATTTTATTAATGTTTTTTTAAAATAATTGAAATCCGAAGAATTTTTTTAAAAATTGTTGAAAATAATATTGAATACTTGACAAGAATTTTATTAAAATTTTTAAAAATAATTGAATTCTGGAGAAGAATTTCCTTCTTTTCGAAAATAATTTCAATTCTTGCGGAGAATTTTATGAAAATTTTTAAAAAATTGAATTCTTTAGAGTAATTTTATTAAAATTGTATTAAAAGTAATTAAATTTTTTGGAAAATTTTTTAAATAATTTAATTATCTCGTAGAATTTTATTGAAATTTTTGAAAATAATTAAATTCTTGACAGGAATAATTTTATTAAAAATTTTTGAAAATAATTAAATTCTTGCTAGGAATTTTATTAAAATTTTTGAAAGTAATTAAATTCTTGCTAGGAATTTTATTAAAATTTTTGAAAGTTATTAAATTCTTGCTTGGAATTTTATTAAAATTTTTAAAAATAATTGAATTCTTGCTAAGAATTTTATTATTTTCGAAAATAATTCAATTCTTGCGGAGATTTATATATGAAAATTTTTTAGAATAATTGAATTCTTTAGACTAATTTTATTAAAATTGTATGAAAAATAATTAAAATCTTTCGAAGCATTTTATGGAAATTTTTTGAAAATAAAAATTAGTTTCTGCGAATAATTTTTTGAAAATTTTTGAAAATAATTGAATTTTTGAGAATTTTATTATTTATGAAAATAATTAAATTCCAGCGAAAAATTGTATTATTTATAAAAGTAATTGAATTCTTAACAAAAATTTTATTAAAAATTTTGGAAAATAATTCAATTCTGGACAATAATTTTATTAAAAATTTTGAAAATAGGTAATTGAATTCTTTCGAGGAAATCTATTAAAATTGAATTCCTGCAACGAATTTGATTAAAATTTTTTTAAATAACTAAATTCTTACAAGAATTTTTTAAAAATTTTATTGAAAATAATTGAATTCTTGGAAAGAACTTTATTAAATTTTGTCCATAATTTTTTAATAATTGAATCGTTTGAATAAATTTTATAGATTTCTTTCCACACTGAAAAAAATTTTTTTGATTGAATCAAACTGATTCATATAACCGATTACTTCACTTATCAATGAAATATTTACTTGAATGAAATAAATTTTATTTGAGTCAATTAAATTGTATTTATTTTACAAATACTGAAATTATTGATTTAAATACAATTTAGTTGACTCAACTAAAAAATTATTTGATTCAAATAAATATTTATTTGACAATAGACAAGTAATCGGTTATTTGGAACAAATAAATCTTTTTTCAGTATAAGAATTTTATAAAAATTTTTGGGAATATTTTTTTTAAATTTTATCTATGAATTCAAATTGAATTTAATTAAATTTGAAGTAATGCAAATTTTGAAATATAGAAAAAGGTAGGTTTCAGTGTCTCAATTAAAAAAAAAAGTTTCCAAATAGTTGGAAATCGTAAAAAAGAATTAAATAGTATAATAATTAAAAAATGTACAGTTAACAGAAAATAAAAATAAATTGTTATTTCTCAGACTCAGAAGAGGTGGATCGAGAGGTTTTGTCCTCAGGGACGAGACAGTGGATGAGGAATTTTTGAAAGTGTCCCTCGAAGCTGAACAAAAATGGTTGGGAAGATTTCGACAAAGTCAACCGGCCATGTTTCAGAAAAAAGATAGTAGCGCCAGCAGTAGATATAGTTTTAGCACCGAATACAGTTCAGGTAAATTGAAAAGAAAAAACATATTTTTTAAATTTTTTACAATTTAGAGAAAATTCTAAATCTTTTTTTTTTTGCCTTTAGATTTTTGCTCAGAATTGGAAGAGGTTTATGAGCAATTATCAAAATGGTTAGAGGAGCCGGGAGAGGCTGATGAGAATCGAGAAATGGATCCAAGAGATCAAGCGGTTGTGAGATTTGCGGGATCTCTTCTCAAGAGGGCATTGAGTGAATCTTTTGCCGGCGTTCCTGTTCAGGAGGGCGAACCACAACCACTTATCGATTCCACTGATGCTCATCAAAGGCATAAATTAGCATTGGCTGTGAGAAGTTTGAGTTTAGAACTCGCTCGACAAAAAAACAAACGACAACAATCTGTAAGTGACGCAGACAATATTAAGAATAATTAACTCAACTAATTAATTTCTCCAAAAATTCTCTAAATACAAAAATAAATTCGGTCATTCCATTATATTTTGAAATTAAATTCAATTTTTTATTAGATTTTTACTCGAAAGTATATATAAATATTTGTTGAAAATTAATATTTACATGGTAGCCACAAAACTTTCAATTTGTTTTTTCTGATTTAATATTTCTTTTTAATATTTAGTTTATTTAATACATAATTATTATTTTGAATATTTTAACTATAGCATCAAGAGCAATATTTGTAAATTTTATCATGAAGAAATATATTTCTTTGAAATTTTGTCCAAATTAAATTAAAATAAATATTTGTACACGGAGACTAACTTACATTTTACAAACACACAACTTTAAATGGAATGAGAGACAGAAAACCAGTCGGTAAAAATTTTTCTTTTTTTTTTACTCAATAAAAGTGCACAAGTTTGGATCGAAAAATAAATTTAAAAAAGTGTAACTTGTTACTACTAACAAATAATTTTTTTGCAAAAAACTATACATATTTTTATTAAACACGAAAAAAATGTTTGCCTATAGCAGCTATAAATTTCACTACATTAGCAAAATTTTTAGTTGTTTTAGTTAAGACTTTCGCTATTCTAGAGAAAGTTATCGCTGTTCCAGGTAAAATCTATTATCCGTGAATCAAAAAATAAATTTTTCGATTTTATCTCAAATTACTGTTAAACATAAATATTAAATTAATTATCTAATTATATAAATTAAATTATGTAATTATCAAATAAATTATATAACTATTAAAAAAATTATATCATTAATAAATAAATTATACAATTGTTAAATTAGTTATATAACAGGGATCACAGTATCTTTTTTCCTTAAAATAGAAAAAAAGTGAATTATTTTCTAAATAAATAAGTGACAAAAAGGGAAAAAATTATAATAAATAAATACAATTAAAAAAGAAATTTATTATTATTTTGTTAAATATTATTCATCACAAGAATTAAATAATTTCCATAAATAATAAAATTCAATTATTTTCAAAAATTTTCATATAATTCTTCGCAAAAATTCAATTATTCTAAAAATTTTCAAAAAATTCTTGGCAAAAATTAAATTAGTTTTAATACAATTATAATAGAATTTCTCGAAAGAATTCAATTATTCTCAAAATTTTTTATAAAATTCCTCACAAAAATTAAATTATTTTCATAAATAACAAAATTCTTCAAAGGAATTCAATTATTGTAGAAAAAAACAAAATTCTTCACTGAAATTCAATTATTTTAAAATATTTTAATACAATTTCTGTCAAAAATTTAATTATTTTCAAAGATTTCAATAAAATTCTACGAAATAATTTAATTATTATAAAAAATTTTCAAAAAAATTCAATTATTTTCAAAAATTTTAATACAATTATTCTTGTCAAGAATTGAATTATTTTCAAAAATTTTTATAAAATTCTCCGCAAGAATTAAATTATTTTCAAAAATTTTAATAATATTCTTAGTGGGAATTTAATTAATTTGAAAATTTTGCAATAAAATTCTACAAAAAAATTAAATTATTTTCAAAAATTTACATAAAATTTTTCGCAAAAATTAAATTAGTTTCAATACAATTATAATTGTAATAAAATTCTTGTCAAGAATGCAAATTTTTTCGTAAATAACAAAATACTTCCCAGGAATTCAATTAAATTCAAAATTGTTAATATAATTTTTAGCAAGAATTCAATTATTTTCAATAGATAAAATTTTAATAGATTTTCTCGAAAGAATATTCAATTATTTTCAAAATTTTTAATTAAATATTTGGCAGGAAATTCAATTTCTTTCTTAAATACTACAATTTCTCGAAAGAATCCACTTATTTCCAAAAATTGTAATTAAATTATTGACAAGAATTCAATTTTTTCCCAAATAACAAAATTCTTCGCAGGTATTCAATTATTTTCAAAACCGTTAAAAAAATTCTTCAAAAAAAATCAATTATTATCAATATAATTTTAATAGATTTTCTCGAAAAAATACAATTATTTTTAATAAAACAATTATTTTAATAAAATTTATCTAAATAATTCAATTATTTTTAAAAATTTTAATTAAATTCCTGGGAAGAATTCAGTTATTGTCAAAAAATTTAGAAAATGGTTTTAATTAATTAAAACAAATTATTTAAAATAGGTGAAGAAAAAAATAAGTAAAAAATAATGCAACAGTTGAAATAGGTGCCAAAATTTTAAAAAGGTAAAAGAAGATGGAAAGTTGACAGTCTGTGGTCCCTGATATAATTATTAAATAAATTACAGAATTATTTAATAACTCACATTAATTATCAAATAAATTAATAATTAATTATTTACTGTTAAAAAAAATTTTTTTCGATCCACAACTCACACAAACTTGAAGAAGCAGTCATAATTTTTTTTTTCTGTTAATAAACAATTTCCTCTCTCTACTGTGAACTAATTGAAAAAAATTAAAGAAAAAAAAGAAAGCAAAAGTGAATTCGCGTAAAACGTTACGCAGGATTTAGATTTTGAAGAAGCATCTTGTTACGAGGACACAATGTGCGAGGATGATTCGACAACGAAAATAGAAGAAGAAAATTTTTCGCAAAGAAGAAAACAACTTTGGGCGATAAATTTTACGTCACAAGTATTCCAGACACTAATCGATGAAGAGACAACAATTTCTCTGCCATCATCCAAACCGGATATAATTCAAGTCGAGACTAATTCTAAATTATTAGAATGTTTCGCAAGCTTCGTGGGAAATATCAAACGGAATCTATTAAATGATGCACCATCGGAAAATTTTCAGGTGCTGCGCCATTAAAAAAAAAAAAAAAAAAGAAAATCGAAATTCAGGATACTAAACTTTTAATTTCGGCTTAATATGCAAAACTAATCTAACAGAAATTAAAATATTTTTCCTTTTATTAATTGAATATTAATAAAAAAAATTTTCTTTTTACAGTAGAAGTAAATTTTTCCCCAAGGAATGTTTTTTGTAGGATATAAATATTCTTTAATATCTAAAATTGCAAACTGACTACGCTTTCGCTGAAAATCTGCTATCTTCAATAACTATCGAGTTTTAATGTAAAAATGCGCAGAAAAAACTTTTCCGAAAACAAAATTAACCGAAATAACTTTTAAAAAAAATAATACACACGAAAATTGAATCCAATTTAATAACAATTCCCTTACACTTTTACTGTAACTTTCTTGAAATAATTTTTTCTAATCTATTACTGTAAACCTGTCTCTCGTTCTATTGTGCTTCTTGATTTGGTTTTCCCAACATGGGAATTTTTAACTTTATCTTCTAAATTCTTTTTACCAAAGTTTATATGTATTTTTCCTTCTCCAATTTATTTTTATTTATTTCTTTATTTATTTACTATGTAGAAAAAAAATTGTTTAAAATACTTGTTTAAAATTTTAGAAAATAAAATCTTCGAAACAAATTTCAAAACAAATTAACGGCTTGTCCTGTTAATAAATAAATAAAATAAGTAAAAAAATTAATTAATTAACTATGTAAACTAAAATTTAAAAAATAATTAAAAAGTATAAAACATAATTATTTATTATAATTATTTTTTAGAATTTATTTTTAGAATTATTATTTAGAATAATTTGTAAATAAAATAAATTGGAATAAATTGGAGAATGAAGGAAAAATATATTTCTAACTTTTTGTATCAGTTAAAAATGCATATATTTCATTCAATTCTCCAATAAATTTTGATTTATTTTATCCAAAATATTTATTCACTAGAAATTTTTTTTTTTTAATTTTAGAACAAAAGAAAAAAGCAGTTTCAACACAAAGTAAAATGAAGTTAAAAAACTGTATTTTTCTTTCATACTCAAAATAATTTTAATTCAAAACAAATTAACGACACGAACAATAAAAAAGAAAATAAATATGAAAACAAAATAAATTAAAATGAATTGGAAAATGAATGAGAAATATATTTTTAACTGCAGTAAAAAGAAGTTCAAAATGTAGGTATTTTGCTTTCATTCTCCAATTAATTTAATTTATTTACTTATCTACTTTTCTTTACATAGTTAATTTTCTTTCAAGATTTTATTTTCGACAATTTCTAACAAAATATTTAAATAAAACAAAAAATGCTTTTATTATTTTTAATTTTGTAAAAATCTCTTGCAAAGAAAATAGAAAAAAAATAATAATTAAATAAATAATAATTTATAATTCTACAAAAAAAAACTAGAAAAACTTAAGTCATTTTAAATATTTAAATGTATAAAATAAATATGATAGTGACGATTATTGATAAAATAGAAAAATACCGTAACCAGTAAAAAGAATATAGAAAAAATTCGTTTTTTAGATGCCGAGGGAAAATAGCCCTCTTGGAGGTGGCTTATTATCAGTAGCCACTGGTAATTGGGGATGTGGATCTCATTTGAAAGGTGATCCTCAATTGAAACTGGTAATTCAATGGCTCGCTGCCTCTTTGGCGGGTGTTCCGAAATTAATATACTACACTTCCGGTCATCAAAGTTTATCAAAGGTATTTTTCTCAATTTATAATCTCAAATTTTGCCCACTTTCGACTGCAAAAATCCAAATATCAAAATATCCGCTTCCGACTAAAAAAGAAAAATCACAAATAAGTCCAGTAAAGTCTACAATAAAATTAATTAATTAATTAAATGAAAGTAATCAACTTTCTCCTATTTAAAATAATTAAATCCAAAAAAGTAGTACTTATTTTTCGAATTGAAAAAAAAATAATTTAGAAGTCGCAAATTTATTATTTTTCGAATTGAGAAAAAATAGTTAAAAAGTCAAAAATTTAATTTACAATTTTTCGAATTCAGAAAAAAATAATTTAGAAGTAAAAAATTTAGTAAACTATTTTTCGAATTGAGAAAAAATAATTAAATTTTCGAATCATTATTTAAAATTAGAAGAAGAATTGAAAAATAAAAGAACATAAATAAACGTTTCTAAATTTCCTTTCAGTTGGACACAGTGAGTAGAATATTAATGGACAGGCATTGGACGGTGGGAAATTTAGCAGCAGCTACATTAAGATTCGCCATTCAAACAATTGAAGAAAGACTGGAAAGTAGAAATAGTCTCTTTGAAGATTTAATAGGAATGGATAAACCGAGTCCTTAGCCCAATACAATGATATCCGTCATGGTTGACGTTCTGGCCTCAATGATAGAAGACGGCTTTTCCATTTGTATGGATCATGAAATGTCTATTTAATCAAATTAAAAAAAAATTACACCACAATTAAAAAATTCTATAAAACTAAAAGTGGGTTTAATACTTGAGTTCTTTAAAAAAGAGACGAAAATTAGGGGAAAAAAATTTATTTAATTCAAAATAATAATTCCCAACAACTACTCAATGAACTATAAACCCATTGAACCCACTGAAAATTTATGTTCAAAATAAAAAACACTAGAAAAAATGTGACGCATACTCAAAAATGTGAAACATATTCAAAAATATGAAAAGTGTTCAAAAAATATGAAAAGTATTTTAAAAAAATTTAACAAGTACTCAAAACACAAAAAAAGCAGCAAACGAATGGAACATTTGCAAAAAATGTATTTAAAAAATGAAAAATACCAAAAAAAACATATGTATTTATCAAACAAAAAAAACAGAAAATATTAAAAGAATTTTTTTTACAGAAGTAACGCAAAAAATGATGTTACATTAAAAAAAAATGAAAAGTACTTAAATGTAAAAATTTATGAAATTGTTTTAAACACACAAACTTAATTCAGCTGAGCTGGACACAAAATCTATAATTAAAACAAAGCACAATTAAATTTTTTCTATTGCATTTAATTATATAGGACGTACTTGTGATTAAAAATAAAAATAAATATGAAAATTACGCGGAGATAATTCGGTCAAGTATCTTTTTCAAAAAATAAAAACGAAACGAAATAACTTAAAACTAAATAAAAGAGAATAACAATCGCTAAAATAATTAAATCTTTCACAATATAATATTTGTATATTTTCCTTTCAATTTAAAAAAAAATTTTATTAAATTTATATTCAGTTAATATTAATATTATTTAAATATTGTTAATAACAATATTAATTCAATAAAATTAATATTAATTATCACAAAATAAGAATTACAATTTTTTAATTTTATTTAAAACAAAATTAAATAAATTTGTGTTTAATTAATATTAATTCAATAAAATTAATATTAATATTAATTCAATAAAATTAATATTAATATAAATCAAATAAAATTAATATTAATATTAACTAAAAAACAAGTTACTATTAATATTAATTATCACAATATAATAATAACAATTTTTCAATTTTATTTAGAAAAAATCAATTAAATTTGCATTCAATTAATATTAATAAAGTAAAATTAATATTAATATTAATCAAATAAAATTAATATTGATATTAACTAACAAAAGGTTACTATTAATATTAATTATCAATTACATTTTAGAAAAAAATTAATTAAATTTGTATTCAATTAATATTAATTAAATTTATAAAACACTTAATTTTCAAGACAGAAATTTTAATATTAGAGATACTTGACAATTTCTCATTTTCCGCGTGACGATTGGGATTTTTTAATCTCCTCATATCAATTAAATATCACAGTGTGACGAATAGACGTCAAACATATGAAATCAATCGCATTGTTTATATAGATAATTTTATGAAATTAAGATGTATATTGCCAATGTCATGCACAAAATAAATGTCTAATTTTGTTAAGACACTGCAAATACCTATAAAGACGATAAACGGAAATTTTATCAAAAACGGCTTAAATGTACTGACGGAAAAAATTAATAATTTTCCAATGCACAGTATACTATACTATATTTTGTACAGTGATATTTCAATATGTTATATATGTATACTGACAGCCAAAAAGAAAAAAAAAATATGTATATAAATTAGTCACTTATAGATTTTTAGAAACCATTTTTAGAAAATAATGTTTTATATATAATAAAAATAATAATAATAATAATAATAATAAATAAACGAGCCTAGTGACAGCATTTTTACCAGTATAAAAAACTATTTGCAATTTTTATGATTCTGTATATTGAAAGAAAGAAAGAAACTTTATCTTAACTCTTCATCAGATTGGGTTAAAATATTTTTTTAAATACTATACAGTAAACGAAAACAAATCTTACTAATTTACAGAGAAAAAAAAATTCAACTTTTCACGAAAATTCAGATAATTTTTATTTTTCATATAGAGAAAAAATAATTTTCACTCCAAATTGATGTAGAATTAAGAAATTGACGTTTGTGGCCTATAAAAAAAAGAGACGTTCGGTATAACGTGCCGATTGATAAGGTCTTCCATAAAAGAAATTTTTAACAAAACACGTGAAAGTATCCTAACGGATATCACCGATTATAATAAAAATGGTTTCAAGTCAAAAGATGTAAATTGTAAAGTATGTATCTTAGGCAAATGAATAAATTTTTATGCCATTTAAATTTAGTTCATTTACCCAAAAAAGACCTTTCAGAAAATTTTTTTTTTAATAATTCCTTATGAAAAATATATGTGAAAAAAATAAAAGTGAAATAAGAAAAAACTTGTTTTTAAGAATATGCGATATTATATTTTACAATATGCAATATTTTTCCTTTTTATTCAAAATCAAATATTAAACGATCGTTATTCTAAATTCGAACTACAACTAAACTTGTCACGTACAAAATATTGGATCAACTTAGAAACGTAAAAAGAGTATATTTTGAAATAAAATGAAAAATAAAAGAAAAAATCAATCAACTCACAACACTAGGTTTTTATTTCTTCCTTAATATCGATGACGTGACGACGGGCATTTTGATGTAAAGTTGAAATTTGTAGCCCGCAAAAATAAAATAATGCCAATTTGTTTTTTTTAGTGATGTGACAAAAAATGCCCTTGATGATTGATTTTGTAGAAAAACAAAAACTAGTATAAAAAGCAACGCAGTTGAACAATCAAGAGAAGAAGAGACTTCTTAAGCGTTGACCAAATCTCTGGCTCTCATAGAGCAGATTAAATTTGTTTACAAATTGTTTTGAATCATTGCAGCCTTTGGTTATTATTCCGAGGTAGGTCATTAAACCAAAATCGTTGCATTGCTGAAAATTAAAAATGATTATTTTAGCTTCAATCGATTTTTTTATCAATTAAAATTCAAATTTATTAATTAAATTTCATTAAATTAATTAAAATTAACACAAAATGAATTATCACATCAGGATAAAAATAACTTTTACAGGTCTCGGATTTTTGTAGAAATTCAATTAATTTCACAAAATTTTTTGCAAATTTTTATTAATTTTTCTTCAAAAATACGATTATTTTAAAAAATTGTAACAAAATTCTTCAAAATATCACATTTTTTCCAATAAAATTAAAAGAAATTTCAATTTCAAACTTTCTGAATTTCTATTAATTCTAAAAATTGAAATTCTTTCAATATTTAATAGTTTTCTAGAATTTTGAACTAAAACTACTTCAAAGTTAAATAATTTTTGAAAATAAATATTTAAATACCTATAGTTTAATTTCTAGGTCAATTAAAATTTTCAAAAATTAAGTTGAAAACTTCTGAAATTTAATTATTTCTACAAATTGCTACTGTAACTTCTTCAAAATTCAACTATTTTCTAGGAGTTTTAACTAAAATTTTTTTAAAAACAATTACTTTTAAATAATTTTGAGAAAGTTCTTTAAAAATCTAGTTATTCAAGAAAAAACTGAAAATTTCATTTAAAATACGTCTAAAAGTGAATTTTTTTCAATTGAATTTTACAAAAATTTCAATTAGTCAACATTTTTCAAATGAATAAATATTTGAAAATTCCAAAAAATTAACTAATTTCAGAAGAATTTGAATTAAAATTATTTAAAAAACTAAATTGTTTAAAAATTTTAAGTAAAATTATTCAAAATTCAAACCTTCTAAAATTTAAATTCGAAACGTTGTGAAAAATTAATTTATTAAATTAAACAAATTTTTCCAAAAATTTCTTACAAAATTCAATAATATTATAGAATTTTTAAAATAAAAATTCTTCTCTAAAGGAAATATTTTCAAAAGTTTTCTTAAAGATCTTTGAGAATTGAATTATTCAAAAAATGTTCAGATAAAATACAAATTAAAATTCAATTGTTTTCAATTCAATTTTACAAAATTTTGATTATTCAAAATTTTTTTAAATTGAATTTATATTCAAAAATCCAAAAATATTACTAATAATCTAGTATTTTATAAGAAATTCAATTACAATTTTTTTTAAGAATTAAGTTATTTATAATTTCTAATTAAAATTATTCAAAATTCAAACCTTTAAAAATTTTAATTTGAAACTTTCTCAAGTTAAATTATTTTCAAAAATTTCTTCAAATATTCAATTATTTTCTACAATTTTTAGCTTAATTATTCTTTTCTAAATCAATTATTTTTAATAATTTTCAAAAAGTTCTTTGAGAATTAAAATATTCAGAAAATATTCACATAAAATACAATTAAAAATTCAAACAGTTTTAATAATTTTCAGAAAGTGTTTTAAGAATTGAATTAATCAAAAACTATTTCCATTAAAAACCATTTAAAATTAAATTGTATTCAATTTAAATTATTTTTTACTTTTTAATTTCAATAATTTTTTCAATTGAATTTATATTAAATAATTCTAAAAAATTACTAATAATCTAGTATTTTATAAGAAATTCAATTACAACTTTTTTTAAGAATTAAGTTATTTATAATTTCTAATTAAAATTATTCAAAATTCAAACCTTCAAAAATTTTAATTTAAAACTTTCTCAAGTTTAATTATTTTCAAAAATTTCTTCCAATAGGCAATTATTTTTGAGAATTTTAAACTAAATCATTCTTCTCAAAGTCAATTAGTTTTAATTATTTTCAGAAAGTTCTTTGACAATTAAAATATTCAAAAAATATTCATATAAAATACAATTAAAAATTCAAACTGTTTTAATAATTTTCAGAAAGTGCTTCAAGAATTGAATGATTCAAAAACTATTTCCATCAAATACAATTTAAAATTAAATTGTGTTCAATTCAACTTTACAAAATTTCAGTTATGCAAAAATTTTCAATTAAATTTATATGTATATAAATTCTAAAAAATTACTAATAATCTAGTATTTTAAAAGAAATTGAATTACATTTCTTTTAAAGAACGAAGTTGTTAAACATTAAAAAAAATTTGTATTAAATATAATTTAAAATGAAATTCTTTTCAATTCAATTTTACAAAATTTCTATAAATCGATAAATTTGGAGAAAAATATAAAACACTTTAGAGGAAAATATTTGACTATAGATATTTTTTACACTTTGAAAATCAAGATAAGAATCGTTTCATATTAAAAAAAGTGTTATTTTGTTATAATATGTAGAAGAAAAGTAGAAATTGTCGTATTTTATTCAAATTAGTCAAAGAACATCGTATTTTTTTTTTAAATAGTCAAAAAAAAAGTCGTACTTTTTAAAAATAATTGTAAAAATTCAAAAAAAGTCGTATTATCCAAGACCTGAACTTTTATAAATTTGATAAATTTGCAGAAATTGAAACTTACGTTGTAGAAATCGGCTTTGAATTTTGAACTATTCAACACTGGCAATCGATGGCTCAATGAGCAAGCAGCTCTCAATACTTCATGATTACCTTTTAACTCTCCACTCTCAACAGCTTGGACATACCTCAAAACAAGTTTCACTCTCGAGTGCAACATTTTAATGGCACTATGTTGAGCAATTAAATGTTCAGCAACTAAAAAAGAAAAAATATCAAAATTAATCACGAGCCAATTATAGAACAATTGGCAAATATTGTCCACAATATTTTACCTAAGGAACTCTCTCCTTGATCGTTACTGCACATTCTTGCAACATGATCGACTCCTATCCTCTCAGCTTCTTCTGTAGCCAATGTGTAATTTAATGGCACAAACAACATCGTAGCTTGTCCATTGACTAAATCAATTACTGATTCGTAAATTGAAACCGGTAATTGCTGAAACAAAATTCATTAAAAATATTCATTTTCTCCAAATAATAATTAGTATAGAAGTTAGTTCAATTATTATTAAAATAGAAACTTGTTCCATCATTATAAAATGAAAATTAGATTAATTATTATAAAATAAAAATTATATTATTATTAAATAGAAATTAGTCAAGTTATTAACAATTTAGATGAAAATAAATTAATAAATTCTAACAATGAAAAAAAATATTTTACCAGAGAGGAAAAATAAATATTTTACTTACATCGGCGTTTTTTGGTCTTGGATCTAATTTTAAAAGCACTGGACTCTCGTTAATTTCGCATATTTGTTTGTGTACTCTAATGTCCCTATCGTTTGGAATATCACCTGTTGTGTACCATCCAAGAAAGTCCATTTCGCTGAAAACTTGCTTGAATTGTTCCTCCTTTGTGTTGTAATAATCTCGATCAATTATCACATCGTCGCCTATACAGTTGAATAATAATTCAAACGAATTCATAATTTCAATATTACGCCCCTTCTGCTTTCCAATCAAAGCTCCATACACTGCAATTAAAATCACATAAATTTATACAATTCAGAATAAAAAGAAACTCTTTAAAAAACTTGCCAGAAAGAAATCAGGATGGTTACAAGTTTCAGTTTATCAATTTCCCTGACAATTTACTGACATTAAAATTATTTTCCTTGACAAAATTCTTCTTATAGAAAAATATAAAAGTTTACGAAAAATGAGACAAATTTATGAATTTTAATAACTTGTAAAAATTACAATTCTAACCCTTCCTGAATTCAATTATTTTCTACAATTTTCAACTAAACTTCATCTTTAAATCAATTATTAAATAATTTTTCGAAAGTTTTTCTAGAATTCAATTATTTAAATAAATCGAAAAAAGTCTCAATTTTCCTAATTTCCCTGACTTTACTAACATGTGGCCACCCTGAAAACTAATTGAAATTTATTTCTTGCAACATTAATAATAATAAAACATTAAAAAGAAAAATATTACCCAAAAATTAGAAAAATTAATGAAAAATATAAAAATTGTAAATAAATCGAAAAATAGAATAAATTGATTAAATGATTAAAATTAAATAATGATATAATTACCAAGTTGATCACTGCCTTCTTGTGCTCTTAACCTAGTCCAGTGTTCACTAACGTTCATTATCACTAAAGGATGGAGACTAATTGAAACAGAACCAACTGTTCCCGATGATGCCATTATTCGACACGCTGTATTTGAATTCGTCGATGTTGTATGTTCTTTTTCAATATTGATGATAGGTGCAATTTCCATCGGTACATCACCCGAAAGTCCATTGTTTTCATCCACATCCATTTCATTCAATTGTTGTTTCTCCTCACTCATTTTGTTTCACTTTTTTGCAATTGCAAAATTAATCACAATTAAACACTTCTCTATTTAAACTTCTCTCTTGTTTTTGCACTAATATTTTTTAATAATATAGTAATAAACAAAAATCGACCGACAAAACAACGACAAAAAACACAAGAGACGTCTCCAGCACGGCAGTATACTCTGAAGTTGGTATCACGGAACAATTGCTGCCAATATTACTTTGCCGGTGGATAAATAACACTGGTCAATGGGGATATTTAGCGGCAAATTTAAAATAAATACCAAATCGTTTGGATTTTTTTTTAAAAAACACTTAACATAAATTAAATAATTGTAAATTAATAATTTTTTTTATAAACATTTTTGATTATCGTCGGTATGTTTCTAATTTTGATCGAAGTAAATTGGAGAAATTAGAGGTTGGCAAGATTGTAGCGGCCCTAGGGAGAACTAAATTACTAAAATATTTACTTGGTGTTTGTGTCAGTTTGCTTGTGTTTGTCTGTCAACAAACCAGACGCAACAATTAGTGTTTTTATTTAAAAAAAAACAAGTTATTTAATTATTTATCTTAATGACTCCAAACTATAAATTTAATGAAGGTAAGAAATATATTTCCTCCTTTAACAAAAATTTGTACGTAACGTCAAAGTGATTTGTTTTCTTTCGTTTCTTTAACAGGAGAAAGAGTCCTTTGCTTCCATGGTCCATTAATATACGAAGCAAAATGTTTAAAATCAACAGTAACTAAAGAGAAACAAATTAAATATCTCATTCATTACGCGGGTTGGAATAAAAAGTAAGTTATTTTTTTACTATTAAACTGTAGAAAGTGAAGTGAAAAATATTTTAAAAGTCCACACTTTCTACAACAAAAAATAATTTACATTTACATTTTAATAGTTTCTCTTGTTGATATCCTTTTTTTTATCATAATTACTTATTTTTACAAACATTAAAATAATACTATTAATTAAAATATCGTTTTTGGGGGAATTCTGCGAAACATAACCTCTTCAGAGAAAGATTGAAAGGAATTGAATTCGTGTTTGAAATTTATAAAAATGTATTTTTGTGAAATAGTTGGGATGAATGGGTGCCAGAAAGTCGTGTTCTTAAGTACAATGAGGCAAATGTTCAGAAACAAAAAGACGTACAAAGAGCCTATGCTTCTCAACAAACGTCTCAAAAAGGAAAGAAAGTAACGGTCGCATCTAAAACACAAAGTCGAAGTCGAGAGAATGTTAAAGAAAAAGATGCTGAAAGTAATTCCTCAACTCCAAGTTTGCCAAATGAAAAAATTAATAGTCGATCGGCTAAAAATAGCGGATCTATAACACCAACATCTAATGATTCCTCATCGGATGTTCCAAGAAAAAAGAAAAGGTATTTCTGCCAATAGTCAATCAAAATTCATTTCTTTTCATTTCTAGATAAATTTTCATTTATTTAGATAAATATTTCTCTCAGTTCAATTTTACTCTCTCGTGAAAAATGAATTTTTGTTTTATTCAATATTTTATTTTCTATTTGATAACGTAAATGATTTTCTATTTTTCAGTCGTTTAGATCCTTCGATTGAAACAGAAGAACAATTTTTGTCAAAGGTCGAAGTTAAAGTAAAACTTCCGGACGAATTGAAACCTTGGTTGGTAGACGATTGGGACGCGATTAGTAGACAAAGGAAATTAGCAATTTTACCAGCTCGACACACTGTCGATCAAATTCTCGATGATTATGTTAAATTTAAAACTTCTAGCAAGACAAATACTCCCAACAAGTAAGTGAATGGAAAAAGGAATTTTTATTGAAATTCAAATCTTGAATTTCTTTAAATAGAAATGAAAGAGTTAATTTTTATTCTATAAATTTAACTCCTAATTTCAGGGCCTCCGACAGTACGATTTACGATTTTTTCGATTTTCAAACTGTGAAAAATGACTACAGCCAAATATTTTCCTCTAAAGTGTTTATTTTTTTTTTAATAATTGGATTCTTAAAGAATTTTTTCAAAATTATTAAAAAGTAATTGTCTTTAAAAGAATTTTGGTTAAAAATCCTAGAGAATAATTGAATTTTTAAAAAGTTACAGTAACAATTTTTCAAAATAATTAAATTTCAGAAGTTTAATTGATGTAGAAATTAAACTATATTTAAATTTTTATTTTTCAAAATCTATTCAACTTTCAAGTAATTTTAGTTCATAATTCTAGAAAAAAATTAAATATTGAAAGAATTTCAATTTCAATTTTTAGAATTAATAGAATTTCAGAAGGTTGGAAATTGCCATTTTTTTTAAATTTTAACTTCTGTGGGTTACAATATATTTATTTATTGTTACAATATATTTATATTACTGTAAATATTTAAATATTTATTTAACAAGTTTATTGAATGTTTGAATAATTGAATTTATAAATTCTAAAAATATTCGATTTTTGAAAAATTTCAATTACAATTTTTTGAAGATAATTGAATTTCCAAAAGTAATTAATTGAAAAATTGTCAAATAATCCTAATTAAACAAAATTCTTGAAAATATAAAATTTCGTTCAATAAAATTGAATTTCATTCAAAATTCTTCAAAATATAAAATTTCTTTCAATAAAATTAAATTTCATTAAAAATTCTTCAAAATATAAAATTTCTTTCAATAAAATTGAATTTCAATATCAAAGAAAATTTATACTTTCAAGAATTTTGTTACAATTTTTTGAGAATAATCGTATGCTTAAAGAAAAAAACTTTCAAAACTTTCAAAAAAATTTGAAAAACTGTTTTGAAATTAATTGAATTTGCCAAAAACATAAAATTAAAGTTATTATCGAAATAAGGAAGAGAGTAGAAAAACTTTTTTCGAAATTAGAATAAAATAAACTCTTTTTTCGATTTTTTTCCAACTTTAAATCAACTAAAAAAATTTGTAGGCGTCTGAAAGTAATATCGAAAATTGTTATTATAATTGTTATTATATTAAAAAAAAATGTTCTCCTTCCAGGGAAGTAGCCGTTCTAGAAGTTACGAAAGGTCTGAAGGAATATTTCAATGTAATGTTAGGAACCCAATTATTATACAGATGGGAACGTCAACAATACGGAGAAATTATGTCCGAAAAACCAAATTCCACTCCGAGTCAAATTTACGGTTCTTTTCATTTACTGAGACTTTTTGGTAAGCGACTTAAAATATAATATTATAATTATTATTATTATTATATTATTATATTATTATTATTATTATTATTATTATTATTATTATTATTATTATTATTATTATTACTATTATTATTATTATTATTATTATTATTATTATTATTATTATTATTATTATTATTATTATTATTATTATTATTATTATTATTATTATTATTATTATTATTATTATTATTATATTATAATTATAATATTTTTAGAGTATCATTTTCTTTTTTAAAAAGAATAAAATTAATTGAATAAATTGATGAAATATTTTTCTTTTTCCAGTAAAACTTGGCAGTATGTTATCATATACGCCACTAGATGAAAGAAGTATTCAATTACTTCTTCTTCACATTCACGATTTTCTGAGGTACATGCACAAAAACAGTAGTTCGCTATTTAGTCTTCAAGACTACGGCGCTGCTTGCCCGGAATATCATCGTAAATTTAATTAACCGCCCGCAAACTGCTAATAATTATTGTCCTTTTGTTTTAAAAAGACTATAGTTCAAATTCAATGACAATTTGTATTTTTACAATTTGACGAAATAATTTATTGATTACTATTTAAATACAATAGTCTTCTGTAAATCGTTACTTATACTATAATTAGAAATTTTAGGAATAAAAATAATGCAAAAACCTTAATTAACCTTCGTAGAGTAATTAAAAATCTTAGAAGTATAAAAATCCTAAATTCTTCTACGTGGAAATAATTGTGAATCTTAGTGTTAAAATTTATTCGCAAATTAATTTGATCTATTTATTTCAACTAGTTATTTATTCAAAAATTTCCACGACCCCAGACAACAATTTTTATTTTAGGAAAATCAATTTCTAGTTTATTGTCTTAGTCTTTGAATATAAAATGAACTTTAATGTGATTTTCAAATTCAATTATGTGCCTTCTAAATTGTAACGTGCGTTACAAAAGAAATCTAATTATTTGAAAATAATTTTCCTTAAATGTCTAATTTATTCTCAATTTATTCTTCGTTATTATTTAATAATTAGATGTTAAAAATTAGTTTCTATTAAAAAAAAAAAATAGAAAATTGTAGTTATTTTTATTATTACTATTATTATTAATTTTAATATAATTTTGGTCATTCAAACGATTAAGACGAGTCAAAGTTCTAATTTATAAGTTCTACGCAATACGTAAATTGTAAAACTTTTATAAAAAAAAGGACGAAATTGCTAAATAAAATTATTTGCAAAATATGAACAATTTTTCCACTTTCTTGTACACTTTTTTCACTAATTTAGAAATAGAAAGTCAAATTCTTTAATTTACGGAAAATTTAAAAATTTTATAATAGATTTAATGATAGAAAATATTATAATACATAAATCAGAAATACTGAGGAAAAAATTTTTTTCTATAAAATAAAAGTAATTTTAAATCAAAAGTAAAGTGAACTAATGTGCAGGTTTGCCACAAAAAATTAATTTAACTAGAATTTTTTAAAAATTTTTAACATAAATGAATTTCTGCGAGGAATTTTATTACTTTTGAAAATAATTGAATATCTGCAATCATTTGTAACTTCTGCAAAATTCAATTTTTTTTAGTACTTTAATAAAATTTCCTGACTTTTCCCTGATTTCCCTGACCTGTAGCAACCCTGACGTGAAAATAGAGTAGAAATAGAGTGAAATATATGAACACCAACGAGCAGAAAGTTAGAAATAAATGAGATTTTTCCGAAAAACATTTACAATCTCTCTTCCGGTTAAATTCGTTCTACCTGAAAGATATATAGACGAACATTGGAGAATGAGAGGAAAATTAAGAGAGAAAAAAAAATTCAGGAAGCCTGAAGCTAATGACCACCCAAGGTATTTTCGGGAGAAGAAACATCCCGAGTCTAAAACGTTTGTTATAAAAGGTGAACAGGAATCGAGTTGCAGCACGAGCCTTCCTCATTTTGAATGCTTTTCGCTTTCTTTCATCAGGGACTGGCGACCAGAAAAGAGGCAGGTGCCAGAAATTGGATCCGATTTTTGGGGGCCCCAATTTCTCAACCTGGACACGTACTTGTCTTTCTATCGAATGCTCACGAAATTTTTCTCTTTCTCGAATATATACATTCACGCTATAGTTCTCTCCCGATACATAAATACTGGTTCATCCAGCAGATGTTGGTGTGGCTTGTTCGCTTTGTCAAAATACAGGACCATTTATGTATTAAGATTCCAAAAAAAAAACAGTTTGTTCGATTTTTCTTATATAAAAATACATTTCTAAATCTGTTGGTCAGCTAGACATTTTTTATTTTTTATAAAAGAAGAAAGAAAATGTAAATTGGAGGCGGAGGAAAAAAAATACGTTTACTACCCTGTCAAGATGTTTTACTTTATTTTCCTTTCAAACGTATGAAAATCATTAAAAGGCGGAGTTTTAATTCAAAGCGAAAAAACTACGAATTCTTTTTTGAAGAAATAACAAAAATTTTCGAAATTATTGAAATTGATGAAGTTTTTAACGATTTTAACTGAGAAAAAATATTTTTTCCTTCAAATATCTGTAGAAAAAATTACAATATTTCTTGATTAATAATTTTGAAAATGAAAAATTTGTAAACAAAAAATATTCCTTTTTACGTAAAACTTATTTTTACTGAATAATAATTGATCATTAACGTTGAAATTGAAATTTACCCACGTATTCAAATTTCAAAACGTTTTTAATGTTAAAAGAAATCAATTTGTAACGCATTAACAATTATTAATCGAATAATTATTAAACTTTAATTGAATTGAATATTAAATATTAACAATATTTTTTATTTACGAAATTCAATTAATTTATTCTTTATTTAATTATTATCTATACAATTTTATTTTTAATTTTAATTTAATTTTGAATTTCATTTTTAATTTGAATTATTTTTCAACTTTCAGTTAAACGATTTTTTCAACGTTTTTATATTTTTCAACGTTTTTAATGTTAAAAAAATTAATTTGTAACATTAACAATTATAATTAACAATTATTGATTGAATAAATATTAAACTTTAATTGAATTAAATATTAAATATTAACATTAGTTTTTATTTACTTTTATTTACGAAATTAAGTTAATTTATTTTTATTGTTCACTTAATTATTTATAGCTATAATTTTATTTTTAATTTGAATTTAGTTTTGAGTTTAAATTATTTTTCAACTTTGAAATTTGAATATAAAGAAATTCATCTTTTTAAAATTAAAAAATTTATGCAATAGAGGGTAAAAATAATTCTTTTTCGTCACTTTTTTTTCTTTGAGTGTGTAAACGATTTCACATGACAACCTACAGCTCATCACCTACTTTAGTAGGTCATAAACCCAAACCTCAAACTCGTGGGAGTGCAATAATTCTAAGACCAATTATAACTATATAAGAGATCTCAGTTTTGCAAGGCTAAAAGTAATTAGGATCTATTTGATAATTAGTATAGAAATTAGCCTTCAAAAGATAACTTCTATTATACAATCAAACTCGATACAAAGACGATAATTATTTTCAAATTAGCAAAATATTCAATTAGACTTGTATTTATTTTCTTTTCAAAATTGTATGAAATCAAATTACAATAACCGATAATTAGAATTCGAATTCATTTTTATTTCTTCTAAATTTCATTTATAGGAACAAAAAAAAATTTTAAAGTACTGCATTTAATTTTTTTTTGTTATTAATTTATTTTATTAATCGTTATTTTCTACTCTTTTATTATATTTAATCTTTTTCTTTGAAAATTTAATTAATTTTTTCTTTAAAATATTCAATTAATTTTTTTTATTAATATTTAATTAATTAATTCTTTCTTTAAATATTCAATTAATTTTTTTCCATTAATATTTAATTAATTAATTTTTCAATTAATAATTAATTATTTCAAATTCGAAATTAAAAAAGTAATAAAGAACATAATTAAATTTTAATATTCAATTCAAGAAATATAGAATTACTCTAATTTTCAATTTAATTTAATTATTCATTCAATTATTAACAAATACTAATTAATTATTTAAAATTCATTCAAATAAAAAATTATTTAAAATTAAAAACTAAATAATAAAATTGAATTATTCTAGTAATATTGATTTACTAAAATTTTCAATTGCAGTCAATTATTCATTTAAATATCTAATTAATAAAAATTTAAAAAAAAATAAAAAAAAATTGAATTTTAATATTCAATTGAAGAAATATAGAATTATTCAAATTTTCAAATTCGTTCAATTATTCATTAAAATATTCACAACTACTACTAATAATTATTATTATATTCATTCATTTAAATAATTAATTAATTAAAAAAAAACTAAGAAAAAATAATTGAATTTTAATATTTAATTAAAAAAATATAGAATTATTCAAATTTTCAATTTCATTCAATTATTCAATTTTTCACTGCAAATTAAATTTTCATAATATTCAATTATATTTTTTATTTTTTTATTTTAATTAATTAATTATTAGTGTAATAAATATATTATGTAAAAATATATATAAATAATAATCATAATAAAATTAACAAATAATAAATAAAAGAGTAAAATTAAACAATTGATAAAATAAATTAATAATAAAAATAATTTAAAAACTGTGTGAATATAAAAATAATATTTGAAAATTAAATATTTTTCGAAACATTCATTAAAATTTGATACAGAAGATTTTTTTTGTTTTTTAAAAAAATATAAAATTTAACAGAAAAACTTAAAATCTTGAATTGCTTCAACATTCTTTTATAATTATTTTCAATGTTTCTAAAAGGTCACAAATATTTCACAATATTTCTTCACTTGGCTACAAACACAGGAAAAGTATTGCACTTTTATTCTCACTTTTCAGGTGTAATAATTGCGCAGTATCACATGTCATCAAAATATTTTTTCATTTATAATATTAAAAATAATAATACTAATAATTCCGTAAAATATAAATAATCATTTTTTAACAAAATTAAGAAATTAAAAATCAAACGAATTACTTGACGAACAATTATCATCACTAACATAATATTTGTAACTATTATAAATACATTTCTTTTTTTGGTTTCATTTTATTGTTTTGTAAATAAAAAAAAAACTAATTTATGAAAAAAATAAATTAATCGACAAAGAAATTAATGAAAAAAGAAATTTCTAAAAAAATGAATCCACGAAAAAATAAATATTTGAAAAAATAAATCTATGGAAGAAAATATTTAAAAAAATAAATCTATATGAAAAAAAATATTTGGAAAAAAATATATAAAAAAAATACTTTAAAAAATATGAATTTATGAAAAAATAAATATTTGAAAAAAGTAAATCTATGGAAAAAAAATATTTAAAAAATAAATCTATATGAAAAAAAATATTTGGAAAAAAAATCTATAAAAAAAATACTGTAAAAAATAAATCTATGGAAAAATAAATATTTGAAAAAAATAAATTTATGAAGAAATAAATTTACGAGGTAAATAAATCTACGAAGAAATAAATTTATAAAAAAAAGTAAATTCATGAAGAAATAAAATAAAAAAAATAAATCTACACTGAAAAAAAATTGATTCAAATAACCGATTACTTGTCTATTATCAAATAAAAATACTTGTATCGAACAAATTTCTTTTTTCCAATGTTTGAAAAAATAAATTCACGAAAAAAATAAATTTAGAAAAAACAAAATTTAACAAAACGAAAAAATTTTCCATTTTAGTATGAATAGAAGAAAAGTAAACATGCACGTTCCTTTTGAAAAGAAAAATAAAATGCATGAGTAAAAGCGATAAAAATAAATCTATTTCAAAATACAAAAAAATCGAAAGGGTAAATATTTTTCCTAAAGAAAAATATAGAGAGAGTGAGAGAGAGAGAGAGAGAAATAGATGTAGGAAAATGCAGCTGTCAAACTTGAAAACGGAAAAATCCCCCTACCTATATTTTATAATCCTACTTTTGGGGATAAAATATATAAAACTGGAAATACAGAGTCAGGAAGGACGAGAAAGATGCGTATTTAAAAATGAATATATATAAACCCGGAAGTCGACGATAAACCGATTCTCTGCTACTAACATCCGGTTTATTGAAATTTTTCAAAGTCTCCCCCCCCCCAAAAAAAAGACTTTTCTCATTTTTTTTTCTCTATACCTATAATATCTGTAATTCTTCCTTTTTAAGAAAAGTTTGTACACAAGTCCCTTATTATAATGCCACAATGTTTAAAAAGCAATTAGGTT